TGATTGGTACACAAATTCTCCTTGTCATTACCTTAGGATATGTGGGGAGAACAGTATGAAGAATATGCATACTATAATGTTGGGGTGTAAAGGGTTAAACATATAGCTGTTGAACTATTTGTCATAATTTATCTTATAAATCAAATGAAAAGAGGGATGCAATCAATTGCTGGGGGTAAATGAATGTGTTGACATTGACCAAGCAAAAAGTGGTAAAATTTCTACACAGCCCCATTCTACATCATGCATTCAGTTCTTGGATAGAGAAAACAATGACAAAAACAATACATTGCCATTGGGAAAACAGATTTGTTTTACAATAGTATGGGGCTGTACAGAAATTTTACCCAAAACGTTTCTACTTCTCATAAATAAGCATAGTTGGCTCCGAGGACACCACTGTGTCGGCTTCCCTTACCCCACCCCACTGGATCGCCAATTTCATCTCCTCTCACCTCTGGTGACTGGCTCTCATCAGCTGTCTTCTCGCATCCTTGTGAATCAACTGGGGCATCGCGTGTTTTTCTCATTTCACGAATATTAGCCAGCTACTCTCTCCAGTTAAGAGGCTGCCAAGTTGAACCTTGTGTTTGTGCCGTGGATGTGTCTTTTTTACGCTTTTTGGCCGCAACATCTTCAGTTTTCTTGTCGTCCCTTGACGAGTCTTCTTCATGTCGCTTCTCGTATTCGATTTTGATGTGCCTTCTTGGTTCCTTTTGGTTCGTTGACAAAGCTGCGATTGCTTCTCTAGCCGCCGAGCGTGTTTGTCTTCCTTTTGAGGTGAAATACGGGGAAGCACTCATCCTGGAAATCCGTGAAAACAAACTGATCATATGTTTGAATCGTCAGTCTCCCTCATGTCTGCCATTATCAGTATTATGGTGAGCAGTCCTCCCCGATTTCGCCATGGAACGCTGATTTTGGCGGGAAAGTGATGTCACTCGACCAGCTGATTACGTAATTAGTCACTACAAAAAGCCGGACATTTGCCGAAGAATAAAACTAATTCCCTATCAGCACATCCTCTCCATTGAATTTTCTCCACACTGAAGAACAAAGAATAGGCATCAACAAGAGAATAGAAACTTTACAATCTCTTGTTTGGCATCAAATATCGTCTGATGAAATTTTACTGAAAATTTTGAGCTTAAGAAGTGTTCATGATTAAAATTTACACGAACTTGAGTGGCAAACATGAAAATAATGAAACATCAAAATTTTACTATATTAAAACAACAAACTAAATCAATGGTTTTAACAGAAACTAATTAACGTTTAGATGGGGCGGTTTAGATGAAATGAATGAGATTGGAAGGGAGTCGTCCTTAGATCATGATTTAATGATAATTGACAAGAAGATTGCGCTGTTTTAAACCTTAGTTTCTACATGTTCGTCCGATTCAGTTAAATAGTGACTGAAAAAATAAGTTAAAAAAAGGCTAACTACACGAGATATAAATTTTTCCATCAATCTTCTATGGCGCTTTGATTTGTCTTTTCTCTTCCCCAGTGTTAACTCCAAAGGTGTTTGTCCGTCTCGCTGTAAATAATTTATTATGGAGTTCAAAAGTCAAAATAGGTATTGTTTTCTTCCGTGTTAGGATGAGGCATTTGCACATATGTCTCACCCGGTATATACTAAATAATTTATGTAGAGAGCTGTCTCACCTTATTTCTTCAAACTTTAATATAGAAGCACAATTTTTATTTATTTGTAAGTTTTTCCTTCTGAAAGTTTTATTTATGCTAAGATTGCGTTTTAAGCGATGTTTAGTCGATCGGTAGGATGTTAATGTTATTCCTGAAGGAACAGGACGAATCATCAAGCTCATAATTTGGAGTTTGCGTGCAGTTTGGAAGCAATCAGTATTTATTTCACAAGGATTCAAATTTAGGTTTAGCGTCCTTTAGCGCCTTTGCGTATTTATGTATAAAGAGAATATACCCCTTACAGACTATACAATTCGTACGTTGCGGGTCAGTATTATTCCGATATTTATCCGATCGTAATAACGTTATTCCTGAACCCAAGCAGGAAGAAGCACCAAGCTCAGGATGTAAACTTTTTATTGCTGAGAGGTTACGTAGCAGGTGAATCAAAGAGATTGCCTAATAAACTAACTTTTAACCTCAGTATGCTTAATATAGCTGGGAACTGGACGTGCAATAACGAACAGTTTCCCAAGGACCGTCATGTTTTGGTCCCCCGTCTGCTTGCTTTGATGTTTATTTAAAGTAGCGCCTTCGCGCATTTATAGATAAAGGTTAAAAATAAATACCCCATACAGTCTCTACAATTCTTACATTGCGGGTCAGTACCTTTTCGCATCGGGACTTCAAATTTATATGTATATCTCGCCTGGCAAATACTTAATAATTTATGTAGAGGAGAGCTGACTCACGTTATTTCTTTAAATTTTAATAAAAGCAGAATTTTATTTATATGTAGTTTTTCTTTTGAAAATTTGTACGCTAAGCTTGCGTTTTGAACGATGTTTACCTGATCGCTTAAGTGTTATTCCTGAAAGTAGACAAAGTAAGGTCAGGACTTAAACTCTTCAGAGATTGATAAGAGGTTACTTTTAGTTTACCAAAAAGTTAGGTAAATTAACTTTTAACCTCAGTATGCTTAATAGAGCTGGCAACAAGACGTGCAATAACGAAGTTTCCCAAGGACCTTCATGTTTTGGCCCCCTGTTGGCTTGCTTTGATGTTAATTTAAAGTAGACTTGAATTCACGTTACGTGCGTTCTTTAGCGCCTTCGCACATTTATGTCTAAAGGTTAAAATAAATACCCCATACAGTCTCTACAATTCTTACATTGCGGGTCAGTACTTTTTCGCATCAGGACTTCAAATTTATTCGTATATCTCGCCTGGTAAGTACTTAATAATTCATGTAGACGAGAGCTGTCTCACGCTATTTCTTTAAATTTTAATAAAAGCGGAATTTTATTTATATGAAGTTTTTCTTTGGAAAATTTGTACGCTAAGCTTTCGTTTTGAACGATGTTTACCTGATTGCTAAAGTGTTATTCCTGAAAGTAGACAAAGTAAGGTCAGGACTTAAACTCTTCAGAGAATGATAAGAGGTTACATAACGTGCATATGACATCAATATGCTTTACCCATTAACTCCCATAAGTGACTAACATGTAACTTCTCCCTGTAACATTCACGCGTTATCCAGCCAACATGTAATGACAATACTCAAACTCATTGGGTAGAAGTTACACCAAATTCTCGTGACTTATTTACAAGGAAATGTGTAGCAGCTAGAGGGGAGAATTAACAATCAGATCTTGGGAGTTCAAGGGTCGTTAATATAGCTGCAAACTAAACCCACAATAAAGATCAGACAGGGCAAACCCTTCATGTTTTGTCTCTCTTTTTCAATATGGGTGAAAGTTTTTAACTAATTTTGTCTGGTTTTAAATTCTATCTTTACCTAGTTTTAAATTCTAGACATTCTACTATTATCTGGTTTTAAATTCTAGACTACTGAACCCAAGGGTAATTATTTGCAGGATAAAAGCACCACAAAACCCGGAAAACTGTTAAGTTAATTAATTCCATGGCAATTGAAAAGAAAAGAATGCTATAATTAGCGCACGAACTGGTTCAGTCAGTGAACCAATGTCGTGAAATGTTATCAATGTCTTCCTCAGAAAACCATGCTCACTTATTTCCCCCCTTAAACCGTTTAATCTTTCTTCAATAGAAATAGAAGAGAATCCTCAATAAGTGTGTCAAATTTTGAAGTTGATCGAGCTTTTAATAATTAATGTTATTCGCCAGTCTCCTGCTAAGTTTCTAGAACCTAACACATAAACAAACTGTGGATGAGAAATATTTTCACTCGTAAATTATTCATTTTCAAGTCGACGCACTAGCGACTAATTGAGGTCAAAGCTTCCTTATCACGACTTTATCTTGATCGTGAACTAATGCAAAAGCCGAGTGGAAGTAACTTGAAAACAATGCAGCGACTCACTTTACTCTTCCATTCTCAGTTTCTCCTGTGCTGGAAGTTTGCAACTCCCTCAGCTCAAAGTCTAACAGGAACGTCGAACCCTGGTCGGTTGTCTTGTTTAAGAAGATCTGAACATCCTGAAAAAGGTAAAGCTTGACTCAAACACTTAATATGCGCACCGTAAATAATGGCAAAAATAGATCTTAGACTACACAAAGAATAGAAAACTTGACGCAGAACCAATGTGAACCGAGAAGATTTGTTGAGACTATTTAAATAGTGGGGTTGAAGGTAATGTAATCGTGGTGCGCTGACTTTAATTCATCAGTTACAACACAAGCAAATTCAGTTTCGTATTTTAGCGAAAAACACCTAAATACCGAGTCGCGAGTCGAAGCACTTCAACTAGCAAAGCATTCAGTTATTTTTCTCTTAACGTGAGTTAGTTTCAAGCTGTCAAAATCGGCTTTTCGTGTCGTGCATTCCTCTCTGGTATCGCTTCGCTTGTAGCTGTAATGGAATAAAGTTAACTTCGCTCGAAAATCTCAGAGATGAACTCTTTTCACTTGTATGGTCACTTTTAGTAATGATGGAATTTTATTCACCTTCGAACGGAACTACTTCAAGTTAACGTGTTCCAGACACGATCAAACTAGAGTAAACCATGGCCAACAAGGACGATGAGGATGAAAAGGAAGACCGGTGATCGAATTCGCTGTGATCGGAGCATAAAATCGTCTGATGAGTGGGAATCTTAATTATAGGGGTTTCCAGAATTAAGAACCAACAACTTTGAAGCCTTGTGTATTCGCTTGTTGTGTATCGAAGAGTTGCGAACAGCCTAAGATAGAACTGGCCGGAAATTTACGAAAACTGAGTAATTTTCGAAACATGAGAAAAATAATTCCATGTAAAAATATGTTAATATCTAAGCAATACTTTTCACTTCCTGTCGGTTTTCAGACGCAAAAACTCACACGGGATGTTACTGAGAACACAAGGAAAAGTTGTAAATCACGACCCGAGGGTGCATGATTACCAACGTTCCAAGTGCACTGACGCCTAAAAAAATGATAGAAAGTGCGCTTTCTAGCTTTTAAAAATGGAGCCCTGAGTTTACTAGTACAATGAACGATAGGCTTTCGATCAATCAAAGTGTTCCTAATATCTTATAAATTTTTACGATTTTCATCAAGTCGTCAATGTCCTCTTGATTTCTCTCTTTTTGTTTCGTGTAAGATATATCTTGAAGAAAACTCTCATATATGACGATATGTTTGCATCTGTTCCAGGCTACACTCTGGTTAATCACGTGATTGCTACGCACACTGTCACGTGCCCGATAGACTGTACGTGGGAATGCCTACGGGATGCACGCTGTCGATCGTTTAATTATGCAAACTCAGGGAAAACATGTGAATTAAGTGACCAATCAAAAGCGACAGCCCCAAATGACTTTGTTTTAAGAAAAGGCATCACTTACTACGAGCCAACGACACAGATGGTGAGTCATAGAAATTTACAGATCAGTTAGAAACTTAATCATCAGTGCTCAACCTACCAAGCGCAGGAACCTTTGAGGTCTTCGGTTTTTCAAATTCCATCTTCTGAGCAAGGTGGTGTCAAAATCATATCGAGAGGTCAAATAAATGCCTTTATCTCAGAGAACGGTATGGCTGCCTAAAACTGAACATTTACACAGAGCAGCGTTTGTAAGACCTTCATTTCTAGCCCGAAACACAGTAAGTTGAAATGTGGTGGAACTCAGTGGGCGGGAGTACAATTCAGGCAGCAATCGGGCGAATGATTTGAAATTACGAGCAGGAATGAAAACTTTAATTTAAACATGCGCACATGAATTGATTCATATAGCAAAAGTTCAAGTCGGAAGTCTAAACGTTGTTAGAAATATCGAATGCTTAATGCACTTCAGATATTTTTTCCATTTTGACTGGCTAACATTTGCTAAGTGCTTATAATTGGACAGGTGAAATCAAACAATTTGGACATGGAACAGCCAATCAAGCCGCAAATAAGAGCTGCTTTACTGATGAAAGAACCACTCATTCTCGAGAATTTTGTTATTGACACAATTGATGTCATAAAATGCCTATTTTCTAGAAGGAAATCCTGGGTAAATATAATTTGCTCAAATAGAGACAAAATCGTTGCTCGATATACAAAACTTTGAAAATATCAAACTTCTATACTCATTTTGAAAGAGAAACGTTAGCTCTAAGAACGAGAATATATTTCAACCTAAGAAGGTATTGTCATGGTAAGTTTCGCCTCATAAAAGGATGAAAGTACGTTTAACCATTCTTCCCATTTTCACCCAGGGAGGAAATAGACCTGTTTGCACCTCGGCTTTATGTCAAAATGGTGGAACATGTGTTGACGCGTGTTGGAATCCCCGGATGTTCACGTGTGAATGTCGACAGGATTATAAAGGAGTGTATTGCGAAAAGCACAGCGGAGGTGGGTAACTCGTGACTAAATAGAAGAGAAGAACACTTAAATTTGCGATAATTTCCTTTCAGCAACAAGTCTCATATTATGTTTCCTTTGTTCCACGTACAGTGAGAAGCTGTCAGCAGCTGAAAACCCTGGGAGCGAATCAGAATGGCATTTATAAAATCAACCCAGATGGTCAAGGGGTCATAAACGTGTACTGTGACCAAACCACAGATGGAGGTGGGTGGACTGTGGTTCAGAGACGTTCCCGTCCATACAAGCAAAGCTTTAGACGAACGTGGGTAGAGTATCGAGTAGGCTTTGGCGACTTGTCCAAAGAATTCTGGCTTGGAAACGACAACTTGCACCGAATCGCCTCTTCAGACAGCATTCTTCGAATAGATCTGCACCGAACCAACGGCACAAAGGGATATGCCAAATATGGTGGGTTTCGGGTAGCTGACGAAACAGAAAAGTATCGATGCGACATGAGTTCGTACGAAGGAAACATCGGAAATGGGTTTTATGGAAATACAGATCCTAAATTGAACATCCGAGGGATGAAATTCGGCACACCAGACCAAGATAATGACAATCACCCTGGCAAGTGTTTTCCTTATGGTGCATGGTGGGCAAACCAATGTGGCGAGGTTAATCTCAATGCAAGGGATGGTCCGCACTGGGGTCCCTGGACTTCTCAGCCTTACCTAAAATTCTCTGAGATGAAAGTAAGGCATAACTGAACAAAACTGCTATAGTCACCATAGTTCACCTTCAAGGATGCAAGGAACTCGACGAAGAGATCTGGGCACTAACTAATGTAGCCTTCATAGAATTTGCAATGGAAACTCAAGTTGTCATGTAACGCCCGGTGCTGCGTAGCGTTACAACCAAAAACAGCTGCGAAGGTGACTGAAATCCATTGATATATTATTAGCATAATAATACATTGACACATAATTTAGTCTAGCACTAGGTTTTAAATATCGACATGAAATCGCTTTCTTCAACTTGAAATGAAATGTGAAACCTTTCCTTCCAATGGTGATGTTTCATTAGCACCCCACGAACAGATGTCACACATTATAAACAGACCATCATGTCTAATCCTGTTTCAAGACACCAAGAGACCAAAACAAAGTGAAGCGATCAAAAGCAAACCTTGAAGTCACAGGCCAACCACATGTTTCAAAAACTGTTATTTACAAATGGTCTGGTTTTATAGCCGTGTTAGTGAAAAAGGCTTTTACTTTCTTGAAAATAAAAATCATAAAAAAGTGTTTGTAAAATAAAGCCTTCGCAACTTCCCTGAACTTCTAAGCATGTCTTTATATCATAGTAATTTAATAGCCCACGAATATGTAACAAGTGCAACGCCAATTGTTGCCATCGATGCTGGAAGTATGTACATACAAAAAGCACATTTCCTGAAGGACTGTTAAAACTATCCGTAAAAGAGGCCAGTATGTTTCTTTACAGACTTAGTTACCACAGTCGTTAGAGAAAGGCAAAATAAAAGTAATTGTAAACCGAATTGTTTTGAGGGGCGTCGGAATATTTTGGCTGCTAAATCCTCCGCGAACCTGATCTCCTCCCTTCAACGTATTGTCGAGCAAAAAAAAAATTAGACAAAAAAAGAAAGTATTGCAAGTTAGATGTTCACGAATGGAAGAACTGAAAGATTTCACTCAACTCAAACGAAGTTCGGGGGAGCTTTCTATGACTTGAAAAAAAAAAAAAAAAAAAAAGGGCCTCTTCTCCAGGGTTCTATCTGTTTTCCCTCAAGGTTCATGCTGGAGAGGACTGGGAAAGAGGTTGAGATCGCGATTTCACATTCAGCCTAAGGATTTAAGCGTTCGAGTTTAAAATCCCAACACCCACACCATCTCATAATGATCCCCTATTGTTGAAAATAACACATCAAAAGGGTTGATCAATAGTTCGTTCTACCCGTCATTATACGACGACAAAAAAAAAAAAAAAACGGCAACACATTCTTAAAATCTCTTATTTCTAAAAGCAAACAAAATCTACAAATCAGTAACTATCAATACTGTAGAAAATCGATTAATTCATATCCTTGGCGTAATAAAACAAATTTCACGCATCTGAGATCGCCATTCTTCCCTCCAGAAGTAAAAGATATAAATACGTTTGGCTTCAGCGGCGTATAACAACGGCAAGGAAGACATATATTAAATTTCGATTCACAAATACTCCAAGTTCAGTACTATACAGATTGTCTATCATTGATTGCCGTTGTATTCTTGGGGTATAAATCTAACTTGAAGACTCCACACTAAGTTTTTTATATGTAAGTATCATTTGTGCCGATAGGGAGCTGTACAAGACAGTTTCTGTTTTTGCCAAAGATGATTCACTTGAACGTAATAGTGCAGGCCTCACTGCACTCACCCTGTCGTCCATTAACATCAGTAGCACGTACCAAGAAGTGGTACTTATTGCCGGGTGATAACTGAGTCAGAGTGCAAGCCATAGGAAGCGTCAACGCCTTGACGACTCCAATCTTCTTCCACTGGTGAGGGTTCTCCGTTGTGCCGCCGTCCTGAAGGGCAAACAGTTGCTAGTTCATTATAGGCGCGTGTCTCTCCTCAAGAGCCATGTACCACGACAAAACGATACCGCTTGGAGCCACCGCTATGGAGACATTAGGTTTCGGGTCGGAGCAACACTACGTGGTCCAGGAAGGCTAGTGATGGGTCGCTGTATCCTCATCATCGGCCTTGGTGGCTGAACACTTGGCGGAGGAGGGGCTCTTACGCCATTAAACCCTGACTGACCCGAAGAGAAGTGGCGCACAGGTGGAGCAGGACCCCTTGGCACTGCCGCCTGAGTGGGTGTGGGTCGGAGCGCTGGCCCAGGGACGTAATTGGCTCCCGACGCGATAGGTGCTTGTGGACGAGGCGAGACGTTTGACGCAACAGGGATACGAGGACGCACAGGCTCCGACTGCCTCTGAGTCGCAGGGCGATAGTTAACGGGAGCTGATTGCGGTACTGTGTGACCAGGCAAAGGTGCTACGGTGGAGGTGAGCCGTGGTGTTGGTGTAGTCATAACATTGATACTAGCATTTGAGGGCCTGGAAGCTGTTAAACTCGCTGGGGGAGATGGTGCGTTCACAGTCTTCGTGCGCAGAGCGTTCATCTACAAAACGATAACCAATTGACAGTCACTGGTAAAGGACAAGACATGTAATACTTTACGTTTGTTGATTCCAACGATTAAATAAAGGATGAGTCCACTGAACGTCAAGGGTGTTCTGCCTAGTATGTCACTGTGGACTACTTGTTTTATACTTTTGCTGAAACAAAATATCAAAATAAACAAACCCAAAAAAATTTTTGTTTCTGAACAACGTTTTCAAAACCGCCCATTTCTTCCTAAAAAATGGATTGGCTAGGTCTAGTTATTCACCGCTTTGCTGCTAGTCTCCTTCGCAGTCGTTGTTTGGTCTTGTCACGCAATGCGCTCTCTCCGTGTTGCGTGACGAGAATAAACAACGGCCGAGAAGGAGACTACCTTGTTACTGGCCTAAGGAAATTTACTTACCCAGTTAAGATCTTGGGTTTGAACAGCTTTAGTTTCTCGTTTCTTTGCTTTTAAGCTCTCAGCTTTTAAAATCGTTTTTACAGAATCTTCTACTCTCTTTGCGTACTCTTTCAATGCTTTGTTCTCCTTCTCAAGTGCAGCTAGCCTAACGGAGAGCTTGTCGTTCGGGCTGTCATCATCCATTGACTGCTGGATTTGACTCATCCTCTCTTGGATCATTTTCTTGACCATCTAAGATACGTGAAGATTAGTTCAAGATAGAAGCTGCATGTGAATGTAATTAAGACTTCAACGAACCCAGTTTTAAAATTCAGGCAGTTGGTGAAAACTTTTCAATTGTCCATGTTCTCGCTGGCGCGGCCGTATCTTATTTACTTCCAACCCAATGTTCGGAATTCGATAAACCTACCCTTGGAGTTATATTAATCCCTCTAATTTTCCCGATCAACATACAACTTCTGGCTACAATCATCCGGCAGTTGATGACATAAGGCCTTCATATCAGGGTGGGTTATTGTTAGCGTTATTTTCATGTAACTCAGATTTTTTTTAACCACTTTGGAAGAGAGTGAATAGTTGCTGGAAGGGACAATTAAGCTTCAGATCTTTGGGAATAATTGGTTCAAATTCAACAGGTTTAAAAGGCGTTTCCTGACAACATTTCGAATCATCTTCAGCTGTAAAAAAAAAAAAACATTTTGTAACAGAAGAGAAGTCTCTCAGATAATTCACCAAGGGTGGCAAAACAGAAATTGATGAGAAGATAGAAAACTGTTTGAATCAAAACAAAATAATTGGAGCGAAAATTAGTGAAAAGTATGGCGACTAGTATGTGTTTTAACTCAACTTTCCGTGTACGTAAAGCATGATCTTATTCTGGAGGGTAGCAGTCTGACAAATTAGAAGCACTAAAAAACGAAAAAAAAAAAAAAACAGCGAAAAGCTTACTTGTCTGAATTCGTCTGAATTAAAATTGAAGTCCTTTGTAGTTTCCTCTGCGTTAGCACTGGGAGCCAGGTCTGAAAAAGACGGTGAATTTCGATCCTTCACAGTAGTTTTATCATTATCCGCTGGCCCTTTGTTCCCTTCTAAAAAATTGATTTCCCCATTCACATGGACAGGCTTAGCGCCAGGGTTTAAGGGGCACGTTTGATCGCCTTCTTCCAAAACTTCCACCAAGGAATCCTGATTTAAAGTCCTAGCATCCGTGGTGACTCCATTAGAAAGCTTTTTACTTGAAGATTCGTCTAATTTCGCCACAAGTCTGACACACGCCTTTTGGCGATCAGAGGAGGTTAGTTCTGAAGTGTTTTCAAGTATCGGAAGATTCGTATCTCCCAGTTTACTCGACCGCGGAGGCGTAGACAACATTTTGAAATCTAATGGTTTAGGCGAATGAGCCGGTGATGAGCCAGCGGACGATATAATGAGATCAGGGCTTGGGCTGTTTGCATCGTTCGACGAGTGTATCTCCGGGTTCGGTTCCTTTGCAGGTCCTTTACATCGAAGTATCTTGCTGCCGTTAGGTTTAGGTTGAGGGAGAAAATTCTTTTGACAGTCAATTGTAATCTGGCGGAGTCGGTCAAATCTGGACGGATTAAATTGCAGATGGGAAAGTGGTCGAGTGGAAGCTGCATCGCTTGTTCCAATAGAATCTCCATTGGTCATCACATGGTTTGGCGCTGGAGAAAAAGGAAATTGAAATTTGGTTCAGGTTTAAGCTTTCAGCATGTCTACGAGTAATCATCAGCTTTAAAACATGGCCACTGGCCGTTGTGAAATAAAGGAATAAACGCTTGAACTAACGAGAACTAATGTTCAATCTATTGGACGAGTCAAAGAGAGCCAAACGCAGCAGTGAAATGCGTCTTTCTTTAGTTATTCCTGGCTTAGCATAAACTGTTTCTAGACGAGCAGTGATTAAAAACTGCCTGGAAGATTTGGCAGTAATGCCAAACGGCTTTGTTGCAGCTCATATTTATCATTGCTGGATCAAAGTTCTCGTTGCTGTAGCTCGATAAAAGGACTCTAGATTTTGACTCTTGGCTAACAAAAAAGTGAACTTTGATTAAGAAGAGGAACACAACCTCTACCGACAAAACTTCGAGCAACCTCGTTTTCCTTCATATTCTGAATGAGACAACCGCTCTAGAAACCAAGACACATCGCTTCCCCTTGATTTGCGAGCTTAAACCTCGAGTTAAGTCACTCAAAAATCAGGTGCTACTGCTGTGCACTCCTTTTGAGGCGTGGCGCAGTTAAATGACAAACCACATTTGATGCGTTTCAAAACGAGTGCAGTCTGAGAGCAGATGGGGGAGAAAGGCTACTATAAAAAATTCATCCGGGAATAAAGCCTGTAGAAAAAAACAATACAGGGACCAGAGAAGTGTTCTACTGGTTTCTTTCTTGCGTAAGTGTTGACGTGTTGACGTTAAAAAGTAGGACATCTTTGACTTTTGCGGGGTTGAGAAAGGACGTTTTTAAGAGATGGTCAGCGACCAGAAGAGTGCAAACTGCTTCTGGCGTGTTTTGTAATCAACAGGTCAGTTGGATAGCCCTTGTTCTAGCATCGTTATGGTCTTAATGCTTGACTGAACAATATATACTGTATGCAATCTCGAGACAACGTGGCAAACCAAACAACAGGGCCCAGTTGTTTTAAGGACGGATAACGCTGTCCACTAGATGAATCACTATCCAGCGGATAAGTGTTAACATAACGTACTGTGCCATTCAACGGATAGAGATTTTTATCCAATGGATAGCGTTATCCACCCTACGAACAATCGGAGCCAGGTGAGCACAAACAGAAGGAAGAAAGAGAGAAGATGGAAGGGAAAAAGTATACTTAAAAACCAATATGGCCATTTTTTACTGCTCTTCACTTGGAAAAAAAAACGTCCCTGCCGAGCACTACTGAGTCGGTAAAGCCAACCCTTTTAACTCTAAGGAGTGACCTAAAAAATAATCTCTCCATACAAAATAAGTACCGTACTTATGTGACATTTTCAAACTGAAAGAGGGTGAGAATATAGAAAAACATCAATATGGGAATTCTGTAAGATTGAATACCAAATTCTCAGAAGAATGCATGGGAGACAGTAAAAAAAGTTGATATTCAAATGTTGGGAATGAGAGGGATAAAAAGAAAGGTGTAAATAATGAATCTAAAAAAAAAATGCTGCAAAAAAATGTAGTCGTCTAATGTGCTCTAAAAAATACGCGGAGTAGACTAGATCTAAGAATCAGCGACACAGTTACAGCTGGTCGAAGTCCAACCCTTAGCCGCACGTGACGTTCAATAAGAACTCAAAACGTTTTCGACTTACTTGAGGCAGCACCTCCACCATCAACTTTCCTAAAAATGAAAAATAATCGCAACCAATTAAATATTTAATACAAAAAAGATACATAAACGATTCAATGACACGCGGACAGAGTTATGCTGTGTTACTGATTCCTTACCGCTTCTTCTTTGCTATCTCTAGCTCCTCCATAACTCCATAAGTCTATCTGACAAGTTCCCTCCAATTTAAGGGTTCTACTAGCGAGAAAAGAGAGATAAAGAAAAGTTACTTTAAAATAAATGTGCAGCTAAGTTTGTTTTCAGAATATTTACGCACTCAACTATCTTGTGTGAGTACTGGTAGCAACCTGATTTCGAGTGCAATTTGGAGGTTATAAACAAGAGTGAATTTTTTCAAAGACAGTAAAATTGCTCCAGCCCGTAGTCTTTGAAAAACTTACACCAAATTGCTCGAGAAATCATGCTGTTACTTGTCAATGAATTACATGAAAAACGCACCCCATAAAGTCAAGACGCGCGCTATTTGAAATTTGCACTCGTGTTACAACTTTGCACTCGTGTTACATAAAAAATGCACTCGTTTTCAGCCAATCAGACGGGCGTCATTTTTTTTTTTTTTTAATATTATTAAAAAGTAAAGCGACCGCCTGTCTTCGAAAAAAGTGCAATCAACAAAAGCAAGTGCTAAAAAGAAAAAAAAATTATTCACGCCAATTTTAAGTGATGAGAAAGTAGACACGGCTGATCATGAACGGGTTCAACACCAAACCTTCTGTGTGTTACACACTAGAAAGGTATGGTGCCTATTTAAGAATTGTAGTCAAAATGGATAATGCCATTTGTAACGCATGCTTGAGTTATTGACTAACAAAGAGATTAAAAATTTATTCATATGTAAATTAAAAAATGAAGCACACAACGGGGCACTTGAGCGGCCTTCAAAATCTACGTCACGTGAAAAAAAATAAAATACAACAGCTCAGTTTCATTAGCAAAGGCACTAGATTTATCCATGAGAAATAATATTCTTGTATAATGCAAACAAATACCAACACAATACACACAATTACCGGTGAAGTCTCAACATCAGATGGTGTACACTTAGCGTGGTTAATTAAAAAAACAGCAACTGCCGTCACAGTTGAATAAGAAACTTGCTCTTACTACGGTCATCGACATTCCCTCTTTAACACACATAAAAACGAAGTCTAAGGATGCCGAAATCACGAGTGAATCAAAGCAGATTCACGCAATCTCGATAAGAATTCATATACATTCACTTTGAGAACGTCTTACTCAGTGTTAATGAACACATAAATACGCCGCCTTCACGGCTAGCTATTGGTTTGTTCACTGAGCCGGAAAAACCAATGATTCAGTAACACACTGAGTGAGATTCCCTTGGGATCATTTGCATTACGCAAGGGTGACCTGCGCATCAACTACAGCGGGCAGCGAAGTGTGTGATGCGATAACACTTTCGATCGAAATGAACCCCTTTCACGACCTTTTCTCGACTACAACTAATCCACTAGTATATTTTCGATTAAGGAAGGCATCTTTCATTCATTATGAATTCGATAATACGCGAAAAAAGATAAAATAACAGGTTTTTGTCGAACTCAGTCACCGCTTCATGCGGACTCAAAGGTTATTGTCATTATGCAAATGAATGCTAGACAGCCTTCCCCGTTCTTCGTGTTGACTGTATTGCTCGGATTTGTCATAGCAAACACACATATTTATGATACCTTAGCAGCAAAGTCAGATTGCTAAACCAAGCATATGACACATTCAAAACATTGCCAAGTCAATGTCAACGTTCGCTTAAAAAGCGTTGTAACTTACCACCAATTGAAGATTTAAAAAAAACCTTGTCTGAAGTAAACATTACGGTGACCACGAGGTTAATGAAAGTGAAAAATACCCCCTGCATTTTTATGATTCACTCACCTACTTGCTCGAACAAGAATGATTCACCTAGTGCGATTTGAACTGTTGGTACATACGTCCGTTCGATTCGTTCATCAACCGCCGATCTTTGAATCAACCGGTAAGTTACTGGCCCCGAAACTCAAGTCGTTCAGTAGTAGATCCAAGTGTAACTACAGGGTATGAATCTCCCGATATATTGTTTTCTTCGTGTGCCGGGAGGTTTCGCCAAAACAAAGAGTTAAAATGTATTCATAAATTTATCCTGTAGTGTTTGAATCCCGTTTACGACTTGACATCATGCAGTTGTCATGCGTGAATTGATGCTAAAAATAGATTGGGTGGATACAAGTCACGTGTAAAACTCTCCAAGCCAATCATTTGCCAGCTTGTTCACAGCAAAAGAATAGAGGTTTTCGAGCTAGTTGATCTCACATGAAACCAAAATTGACTCTCAAAAGGTCATCTTTCATAATCCTTCCACTAGATATAATATTACCATTACTACTAGAAACCGAAAACTGTATATAACCAAATTACATCAGATTCATATCGTAATTGTCAAACAGGTAGTTGAGGAAAATTGGAGCCACTTACCCACCACAAAAATACTAAAATCGCAAAGTTTCAATGGCATCTGTGAGTTTCACGCAGTATTCCCGACCCTCTAACTGTCTGAACAAATATTTCCTTTAAAATAACCGTCGGGAGACACGGATAAACTTCTTATCAAAATACAAAATTTGTGGAATTCTGAGCTAAAGACGGCTGATTTTCGAAAATCAAGGTTTTTCCTCAGAAATCGTGAGTAGTCAGTGCAATATCTGACACAGCTAATTGACAGTTGATAAAACTAACTTAACGTTTCTAATCTAAGAAGTAAACTTCAATTACTTCGAGGCAGTTCGGAGTCAAAAACGTTTTAGAGGAGTCTGGGTGAATTTTGAAAAATGCAAGAAGGCTCGGAAAGCCGGATCATCGCGTCTATTTCGATTCCTCCTTTTCATCTTCAAACGTCTAGGCCGGGTTTCCAGATGACGTGGCGTCTGTTCAAGATACGTCTGTCGTCTGTCTACTATCATAACAGACGGAATTATTTGAATAACCAAACACGTCTATTGATGTAACTCAACAAGTTATGGTCACGAACGTTAGATTACAGTCTTGTTTGCTTGTTAAATTGGCTTTGCCATTGACTTATATCAGTAGCCTCAAGAAAGGGAAAGATACAATTGTTTTTCAAATTCATATCACGTGCATTCATGTTAGACCTTAGGCAGGAATACCCCACTTGATGTGTAGACAAAACAAAAAGAGGCAATGTGACATGTGACACACATCTGTTGAATGAGAGTGACACACAAATATGCGTATATTTCGCAATGGGACATAAAAACAAATTGTCTTAAGCTTTGCTACCTACCATCATGTCACTCGATCGGCCCCTCCACAGCAAAGAGTTAAAGAACAAAGGTGATTACAAAGACCAAACACGGTTTAGCTTTGATGTCAATACTCTTTGTTTCTATGTGGCTTCATAATAATTTGAGGAATATGACCTCCAACCTTCCGTAGTTTTTTAGGTCTTCAGGAGACGAGGTCTCCTGGCCTCAAGCTCCTGGTCTATGAAGGTAAATCGTTGTTTTGTTTTTTCCTTAAATAAATTAATCTCAGAGAATTAATTTTATATTTCTGTAAATTTAGCCTGGTCCCGACCGATGTTTCGGGCGTTATCCCTACGTCACACGTTCTGACGAAAGGCTGACGCTCCAAACGTCATCTTTCAAAATCTTTACGGTGGCCAATTTAAGATATCAATTCAGTTGATAATACTTAATTACCCACTAGAGACGAGATAACCTTCCGCCTACGAAATAAAAATTTGCAGTTTCTTGTTGGGATAGTTTGTCTCGTTTTAAAATGATACTGAAATAGAATTTACACACTTTGATCGATTTTAAATTACGTACTTGACAAAATCGCGCGGGTGAACAAAAGTCCGACAACGACAGAGTTGGGAAAATAATCCATCTAACTATAGTGAACTTTGCTTTCAAGTTCTTGTCAATAGAATTCAGTTTGGAAAAATCGGTTCAAAATTTGAAGGGATTGCCGATGTGAACAAAACCACATAAATTGGAGAAAACATTAGCTCTATAATGAAACAATGAGCTTAAAGTAAATACGAGGAAGGAAAAACGATGATAACCAAGTCATGATTGATTTTGGTCCTGATATTGGTTCAGGGCGAGGGTGATGTCATGGATCAGGAGGCTGTGCACAAAGAACGATATTAATCAGAAATTTTGGGCTCATTTGTTAAGTGTGATGGTTTGTGGCCTTCGCGTCAGGGCCTCGTCAATGAAGGTCGAGATTTATCGGGATATGATAGGTTCGCTTTTAAATTTCTAATTTAAAGCGTGTTTTTCTTTTTCGCGTTCCTTCACTCACAACGCACACGCCACACAGCTTCCATTCCACCACGTACCATGAACACAACGTCCAAAGTCCAATCAGAACTTACCCAATCATTGTACTACATATACATTCGGCAATTTTTCACGTGCTTGAATTGTATTCCACCTATCAAATTCCATTTTGCCATATAAGACTTCGCTCTCTCACGTGTCATTTCCCTGCAAACAACCTGCACTTTACCATGTATTCTATTCTTTGTGGTAACAAACTGTAGACAAAGAATTTAGATTTCCTCTCTGTTAGAGGAACGGTAGTAAGCTTATGCCCCATTCACACCAAAGCTTAAACATGTTTAAAAGTTGTTTTGTTAAACACGGTTTAATTTTTTTTTTCTTCATAGAAACTATTTAACCGAATATTTTTGACTTGAATGTAGCACATTGGAAATGCAAGTTAGCAAGTACTTGAATCCAATGGAAAATCAAGTTTTTCAGTTCTCTGTTTATAATTTTCATTCAATGAAAACCAGTTTAACAAAACATGTTTTGCTGGTGTGAATGGGGTATAAGTCTTTCTTCCAACCGTTATTTGGCCTCGTCACGCAACGCACTCTCTCTCAAACGGCTGCGAAGGAGACAACAGTAAGCGTGGCACCGATGCATTTCATTTTTAATTAGAAGTATTTAGATAATAGAGACAACAGACCACAAAATATATGTGTGAGTTCAGATAAGTTAGGTTTTTTTCTGTCTTTCTGCGATATTTTCGTTCTTTTGAAAGTTATGTTCTTTTTGGGTGTAACCATGAAAAAAAAGAACTCTCGCATGCTACGCATGCCTATGTTTTTCAGTTCCTCTGTAGTTAAGTCTTGTGATCCTCATACCTTAGGTCTTTGCAATAGATAACACAAAAATATTTAAAAATAAAAATTGTTACAGCTCTAAAGGCCAGACACCACGAATAGGATCCACTAACGGAAAAACAAACAGGAAACGAATAAGACTCCAAGTAAGAGATCAAAAACTACAAAACACGACCCGACAAACGCAAGAATTAAGCACAGTTGTATTACTCTCTTTGAGACCTGCTGCGACATGGAAAAGAGATTGAATTGGCAGATGAGCTGTTCTTCAACTTTGTCGTTAATGTGATACTTCATTTCTGCGTTCATTACTCTGTGAGGAAACGACACACCATAGGTTCACTAGCTCCTGAAACAGAAGAATAGGGCCTGATTTCCTAAAAGCGTTGTTAAAACTTTTGTAAAGTAAAGTTTGCTTTTCTGTGATCACTTTGCCCTCATCTAAGCCCCAGGGGTAAGGAGAAGTCCTAAAAGTCAAGTAAACACTTGACTGGGTCTTGGGTTTGCCTGCCTGCGTTAAATTCTCCCCACCACCTCTCTGCTTTAACAAGACTAAGTAAACAGCAAATATAGAGAAAACGATAATCACAATAAATGGAATAATGATGGTAGCGATACTGCTGATAGTGATGATGATGATTGTATGGACAAGTTTAAAACAAATAAGACATCCTCTAAAACACTGTTGTTACTGACCAGGGTAAACTTCACCAGTAAATGTGTTCACTATCCATTCACAGGCAGTCCTGCTCTCCATTCTAAAGCAAAACAGCAGAAAAACCAGAAATCACAAAAGAACTTCTCTTAGGGACTCACAAAGCTTCCCTAGGGATCTATGACTAGGTAGAAATAACCTTGAGAGATAACTTTATGCCACACCTGCCCTGGTAATTGACCCTACCGCTTGCATGCAAATGTGATTCCTGTATGCAACTTGTGACCTGTGGAAGGAGAATGGGGGGTGGAGGGGGTTCTAATGTGTATGTAATCCTCCCTCTGAGATGGAAAAGTAACAATTTTGGATTATCAAATATCTGTCATAGTCTGATGTAGGGGCCAGTCTATTCAAACTTAATGTCGCGCCCTTGTACCACAAGTAAATGCTACAGGCAAGCAATAAATGAGCTATTGAAATATGAATCAAAGTAAAAAGTAGAGCAGGTAGCTAAATTGAATAGATAGATGTGCCTCCCTGTAAAAACATCTACATATCATGTTTCAGATGTAGCAAACCTGATAAGTGATGTTCCTAAGTTTATTCCATTACCATCTCTTTCAATCACACATGATAGAACATCACCATATGGATTAAGTAGATCAATTAAATCCTGAAAAAATATACACATTAAATTCATTATAAATCCTTTTCATTTTACACATCATTAAAAAGATCAAATAAAAAATTCCTATAATGATCAATATAAGTAACAGAGGATTAATAATAATTACCTGTTCTGTAATGTTTGGAGGAAAATTTTCAATAATGATCACATCACTGCCATCCAATGACTGTAATAAATCTTTCTGCAAAAATAGGCAATATTTTAGAGGATTTTTCTGCAAAAATCTGTATGACACTGCATGATCACTCAGAAAGTGAGATCATACATGTAGCTTATGAAAATATCCATTGGGTCTTAATTGTAAAAGCAAAGCTTTTGGAGAGAAAGTGAAGGAAAGAAGATAATTATTTTAGAATTTATAACATTGAAGATGCATATGCTTTTAAAAAACAAAGAAGTTTCTATAAAAATCAAAAGAAAAGGTGTGCTGACCTTCTGGAAAAAAAAGATGATAATTAAAATCTAATTCAACTTTGAAAAGTTCACACTTTCAAAGAACATAATCCCTTCTACCACTCTCAACCAGATTCCCATAGCTGATTTTTCAAATGATATTGGATATCCCTCTCCATGACTTTGCAAAAGGAGATGGTTTATTTGGACTTTAAAAAATGGATCAAACTCCTAAGTGTAACGAAAAACACTGAAAAGTCTTGAAATGACATATCTCAGGGCAGATAACAGAAAAATTGATTCTATTACTTTAGGAAGTGCAGGTGAAGTGTAATTTGGAACTGGATTGTCAACTATTGTTGGGGAGGTTGGCTGTCCTGTATTTTGTTTACTTGATCTTGATTTGGTTGGATAAGCTGCTGATAAGGGAGGGAAGGATTCTAGTTGCTGAAAAAGGAAAATAGAGAAAAATATTACTTTACATTGAACAAAGCACCGTCACCATAGATTTCAATCAATCTTGAATGTTGTAGTACCTACTGCTTTTGAGGTAGTTCCAACCATAAAGACTAAATCAAATTGTTATAGTTTTAATATTAACATGATACCAAGTTAAGAATGTTAATTAACCCTTTAGCTCCTAACATGTGACTGTTCATTCTCCCCTCTAGCTGCTACACATTTTTTTGTAAACTAATTACAAGAATTTGGCATTACATCAAGATAACAACTTCAACCTGAAAAGATAAAGTATTTTCATTACCTTTTTGCTAGATAATGTGTGGATGTTTTGGGAAGGTGGTACATGTTAATCACTACTGGGAGTTTGAGGGTTAGTGAGCAAGTTTATAATTGAAAATAAAATTATCTTCAGTAACTATTATAGTGAAATTCAGATTACATTTTTAACCCTTTACACCCTAACATCAGTATTCATATTCTCCATACTGTTCTCTGTATATTTACTAAGGTGCTGATAAAGAGAATTTGTCTAACAGTCAAGAGTTTCCTTAGTAGGTGATCATTTCCTTTAATCTCATGACATTACTGTGTGATTAAGTGGTGATATTGTAAGGAGAAATTAGATGCTATTAACTCTTAGGGGTTAAAGGGTTAATTATTTTTTTTCCTACCTCGTCTTCCTCCAGACTGTTTAATTACCAAGTTTTAACCATTTCACTTCGCCACGCGCATATTAGTAGCTTTAACTTTTACAAGTTCATACCACATCAAAAGAGACAATATTTCACCTTAATAACACTGGTATCAGCTGTTGCTTTCTTTTCACCTGGTTTCCTTATAGGGGGTGAATCAGTTAATGCACGTGCTTTCATCACATTAGCTCTTCCGCGGCCTATTGCAGGCGCCTGAGCCGTGTTTTTGTCATTTGTTATTTCCAAAGCGGCCTTGGGAAGACTGAGAGAGGCGACATCTTTCGCAGGTTTTCCTCTTCCATGTCCAACCGCTGGTATTGGTTCTGTTTCCTCAGGCATTTTAGAGGTATGTGCATCGATGTAATATTCTGCGTCCCAAGTCCTCCATCGGGACGCCATCTTGGATGTTTACAACAAATTCATTAAAGTCCAGTCTCCCTCTGCTTTGTCTGCTCTCTCTGCTCAGCAGGTGTTGCGTATTGCGTTACATGTCACGTAACAACTGAACCGCAATAACACCCGAGTTTTGCTTGCTTTTTTGCTTATTTTTTTAATTTTTTTTTTCGCTTACTTATTTTGCTGGATTCAAACGATCTAAAATTAGCCTGTAGTGCCTATAAGTTTCAATTTTTGTGAGCAATTCGGCACAATCTACCCGAAACACGTAGAGTTTGAGTTTGAAACGTCTCTCCTGTTTCGATGGCTTTGTGGGTTTTAAGTTAGTGCGTGACACAGAATGTGTATGTCTGTGTATCATTCGTCATTTAACTCCCAGAAGTGATTCCCATGTAATTTCTTCCTATACTATCCATACATTACACAGCAAACCGGTAGTGAGAATACTCAAACTCATCAGATACAATTTTTTCAGGTCCTACTTTCAACTACTAGTTCAGTAGTCTTCTTAGCTGCGAGGATCTCTTAAATTCGTTTCTACACCGCAGTGCAAATATATGAATTTCATATATCTAAAATCATTATCCATCAGATACAATTTATTACCTTGATTGAACACCTAATTCTCGTAATCAATTTACAAGGAATTGTGCAATGGCTAAAGGGGAGAATTGACAATCAGATCTTGGGAGTTGAAGGGTTAAGAAACACGCATGCTCTTGTTGGTCAATGTTATAACGAAGGGGATAACCGTCTGAAGAAACTGTGGTGTGTTAGAAGTAAAAATTACTCTAACACTCGTTGTCTTGTTGTCTATTTCTTTATTCTCTCTTACTACTCAAGTTATTACAACGGAGACTAGCTCTGATCTCTCGAGGAAAGTGTGGGTCACCGCTTATAAAGGTGACACTTACTGAGCTGTCAATCTCTAACCTCCGTCATGTTTTTACATCTGAATAGCGAATCACGTAGGGCTACGCAGAACGGAGTTCGCATACTAAGTAGATACCTTCGCGATGTTTACGGTTTACGAAATGTCTTTCTAACTTAGATTTCTTGGTCTTACGGTCAAGTTTGGGCAAAACAAAAACAAGATTGACAATATAAAAATTATAATAAACTTAGTAACAGAATTAAAATCATACTTTAAAAGGTATCCTAAAAGAAAATAGTCCTTGAAGGCTGTTGCATAACAGCAGAATAAACACAAAATTCGGAGAAGAAAGGGCGTACCCGAGGTACCGCCCCTAAAAGAGCTACGTACTCGTCGTATAAGTTATCTAATTACAAATTCAGTGCGGAAGATGAAAAGTACTTTACACTTTAAGTCACCTCTAAGAAAAAGAGGTGTCGAACGTGCTAAATTAAAAACTGAAAACCATTTTCCTGATCGGGAATGCGACATGGATTTAGCCTAAAAACGAGTATTTAATGAATAAAAGTATAAAGGAGGGTTATTTCCAAGAAATTCCTATACGGGATCAATTTTTATAGGGTAGAGTCATTTTCTTAGTAATTAATTATTTTTTTAGCATCATAATGAAAATATACCGATATCTGGCCGCAAACGCCGTTTACCCAAAAACATCTGTCTCCATGTCAATTTTCACGATCACGACAAGGAAAAGGTGACCAAACTCTACCTGTAAGGTGAGACCGCCAAAAGGAATAAGAAATGAGCAACTGGCTTATTACAATATTTACTGAATGGCTTATGCAAATATGTTATTTCCATTCATTTTCCAGCACCAATAGAGGAAACTCTTACAATGTTTTTAGATTAGATATATTTCTATTTTTATCGTTTAACAGGTGCTACGTCAGTGGTAAACATCACACGATCGTTTGGTAAGAGATTCTCTAGCTGACGTTTCGAGCGTTACCCCTTCGTCAGAGCAAATAAAGGAATTGTGGGTTCTGCAGTTTTTAAACAGAAGATGGACACGTGAAAAATACAAGAATAAACTAGTTGAATGGAAAGAGTTTGTTGATACCGCGGGGATCAAGAGTGCCGATTTTAAAGATAAACTTTCGTTCTTGAGTGATAAAGCTTAAATATCTTGGACAACTGTTCAACCGTTTTTAAATTAAATGTTTAGAAATGACTACCGAAATAAAACACCGCCTTTCCCTTTTTCGTCCCCTTATTAAAGTCAACGCGAAATTTTGTTAACAACAAAGTGTAGGTAGTGTGATATTTTAAGCCAAAACTATGGCCTGTAATTTAATTTAATACAGTTTGAAAAAGCTCTTAGCCACTGTAATAATCTGGCCCCGGTTGTTCGAAGGTTGGATAATGCTATCCACTTCATAAAACTCTATCCGGTGGACAACGCTAAACGTTTTGCTATTAGTTATACGCCGGATAGTGATTTATCCGTTGGATAGCATCATCCCGGCGCCCTTTATACAACTGGGCCCTGTAATTTAGCTAAGTGCAGGTGATTTCATTAAGCCGTTAGTCACTGGCCTTAGATGTCACTGCATGTGTAAGAAAAAAAAAGTCCACTGCAAGCCGCTGGTAGTTTTTTTTCACCTAAAAAGTCACACTACATCTAGAAAGAAGCTCAAATATTGTCACTGTTCACCATTTTGATTCCTTGAGTTACATACTCGAGTTTAATTCAGACTCAATACACCACTCCATCGAATATTTAAAACCTTCAATTTTAATCAAGTTGCGCAAATGTTTATGCAGTGCGCATTACCCAAGCGAAAAGCAATTCTTTCTCTCTCGTTTGAAAGCGTCCGAGCATAATTATTTCCGCCTGCAACGCTGCAACGAGTGCTGTGGCATACTTCACCGTATTCAATTAGTGTTCAACCTGTTCTCCAGATATGAAGACTCACTGCACCCTTTGAAATAATTCACTTGTATATTGGTCGCTACTGAGAGTAAAAGAAGAAGCGAGACAAGCTGAGGGAAAAAAAAATCAAATTTTACGACGAGGATATCGCAGTATCACATCCGAGACTGTTTCCTATTTTCTACCACCAGGTCATAAAAAGCCAACGCTTGTAGCAGACAGTCGCTCAAATCGTCCTTCTTGTCACACGATTTGAAATAGTTCACAAATTGTGGCGATACCTGTAGCAGAGGTTTGTTACTATTTCCAGGAAATCCACTCATCTGATCATCGATGAACGATTCGACAAAATCCTCACTGCCCTCCATCCCTTGTTGTTCTTTAAGAAACTGCTCACATTGAGACTCGAACGGTTCTTCATTTTTTCTGTCCTGAAACAAGCTCTCCACCAAATTCACAGCTGCTCTCTTCTTGGTTCTACCCACAGGAAGACAAAAATGTTTCGAGGTGTACAACGGGTCAAAGGGTATTACTAATCCAGGCAACAAACAGGTCAACATGGCTTCAAACACGCGAAGGTGCACCGCAAAAGGGAGAAGGGCGGCGGTTTGTTTCCCGATCCGATGGCTTTGCATCTCCACCACATAGATGTCTGTTTTAGGTACTCTGTTAACAAACTGTTGAACCTGTTATTCAATTAAAAAAAAATAGTAAAAAAGGTTTTCAACTTCCATATATTTTACTGGAGTCTCTCTTTCAAAGGCCCTTTAGGCGGAGCCAACTATCCCCACCCAATTTTAAGAGAGGAGGGGGTGGTGGCAGAGAAGAGAGGCTTAAGAAAAACTGATGTGGGCTTACTTAAAACGGCTCTGATGTCAACAACCTCTTGAGCTGGTCAACTAGATCAAATTACTTTCTAACCATCATTGTGCTCAGAGTGAAAGGTGAAAAAAAGCAAGAAAACCAAGCTTTGTATTTGTGTTTAGGAACTGAGGAACTTGAATCTAAAAGCTTACCAAGAATGCAGAAGTGGGAAAAGGTGAAATACCAATTGATCCCTTAACCTTTAAAACACTCTGTTCTTCTGCAACCCCAGAGACAAAGGAAACAATAGAAAAAGTACCTAAGCCATATAAAAGTAATTCCCACCCTTGCCGATATTTATTATTTTGCAATAATGGACACTTGATCTGGCAACAAGGTAACATTTTAGAATCATGCATGGCAGAATGGCCACTTTTGACATTTTTTACTCTTCACAAACTAAAGATGTTTTCTCTATAATATGATCTTGTCTTAAAAAATGAGAAACCATTTGATTTGGCTCAAAAGAAATACAATAGGGGGTCATGCATTTAAATATCAGATCATTTTTTTATAATCTTACATTGATAAACTCGACTAAAAGATAGTTTGAAAGACACATTATGAGCAGCCTAAATTACTCATAATTTGAAATCAAGACAGTCACTGTTAAACTCAGAAAACCTTGAAAACTTTGATGTGATTCCAGCAAACCAAGTATGTATTTAACAATCTAAATAAAGTTCTGCTCACATGGGTAAACCTAAAAATAAAGAACTAATAGCCATTACTGTCTATGACTATGGTATTCACAGTTTTCTGAGTTTAACCCCTAATAACTCCTATGAGTGACCAAGACATAATTTCTCCTTACAATATCAATACAAAATCAACCAAATAAGTGATGAAAATAAGGAAAAATATCAATTTGGGATAATTAGTTGATCCAATACTAAATTCACTGAACTAACATTATAAGAATTGTGTGGTTCGCAATAAGGAGAATTACAAATTTGATCTGGGAGTTAAAGGGTTGACAGTAAACAATGTAGGAAAATCAATGCTTACCAAAGGTTGGAAGACAGCCGGGTTGTAAGGCTTGGGTTTTATAATTTCAGCTCGGGACCAACCCAATACCTTCTTATCTTTGTCCATTCGGACCCAAGCAGCATTCTGGAATCCAATATCTATTGACACAATTTCAGATATCACCTGAAAACATACCAGACCACAAAGTCATAAGCCTGGCTTGTTCAGAAAATGTGTAACTTCAACAACCTAATCCAAAGCAAAGTACACAAGGTGGAAAAAATTGAATTAAATGCCCAGTTGGCCCACCCAGCCACAGCTTATCTCTGTTTCCTAATAGCATGAAGTGACAAGGAGTATCACTACTCCCCCCCACTGGACCCCCACTGGATGAAATGTCAGTCCATCACAAGGTTACCCCTTATCATTTTGTTTCATCAGGCTTCCTTGACAATTCACCAGTACTCATTTACTCTCCTGGGTGGAAAGAGGCATTTTGAGAGTAAAGAATTTTACCCAAGAACACAACACATAAACCTGACAGGTCTTTCACCTGGACCACTTGACAGAGAATCCAGGGCATTAAACATAAGACAAAAGTATCTCCCACTATCAGTTGTACAAAGAATGTTAATTTAAGTCAAAGCTTTGTCTAAAAAATTGAGCCATTCTTTACAATAAGAACTCAGATAGTGCCACACATAGGCCATATCACAGGACTGTCCATAACATTCAATAAACATAATTCAAATCACTTACATCTTTTTTATTCTGTGCTAACTGCTCCCAGATGGTCTCCAGTCCTTTAGAAGTCTTTCTCTTAACAGCTGCTAATCCACCAGCCTCTTGAAGATTTTTAAAGAATGCAGAACCAAAACCTTTTATTTGAAAAAGATCCTCTACACTTTGAAATGGTCCAAAGTTGTCACGGTAGTCTAAAATGGAAACTGCTTTAACTTTTCCTATGCCTTTGGTGTTTGAGAGCTCTTCTAAACTTCTACTATTTAACTCCTTCAAAATTACCTGTAAAGAAAACACAAGTTATACACAAAGATTTACTGTCAGAGTTTATCAGTCACGCCTCCCATTTGTATGTGATGCATAGTTACAGTCATTTACAAGTACAACACTAAGGTAGTGTTAGGGGTGCTTTTGATCCCTCCGGTGTAAGTAAAGGTGATAACCTATGACAAAAAAAAATTGCATGCCCCTTAAAGCCACTAAGCAAAGGACCATTCATTAGGAAATCTTGTTAATATCCCTGCTCTGTTGATCAAATGCATTTCCATAATCAGATCTCTTCTTGCTAATGTCATCCAGGCTCCAAGCTCAAACTTTTTTTAAATAGCCCCTTGATGACTTAAAATCATTTGAGTGAAATAAAGAAAAGGAGGAGAAATTTTTTTGTGGAATATTGCATAAAAATTTGATGCAAATTCCCATCTAGTTCATATTTTTACCATAAGCAATAACTAATCTTGAGGTTGAATCTTTTGTTTAATTGTTTCTTCTAGCCATGGTTAACTAAAGGATTGCAGCATGGAGCTTTCATCTTTGAAATACTGTTTTAACAACTACTACCCCCTGTCAGAACAGGTAAAATTTCCACACAGCCCCATCCTACATTATACATTCAGTTCTTGGATAGAGAAAAAAATGACAAAAACAATACATTGCCATTGGGAAAACAGATTTGTTTTATAATAGTATGGGGCTCTGCGGAAATTTTACCGTCAGTTGTTATTCTTATAACAACGAAAATTAGTCATAGAATGAGGGACTGGGGTGGGAGAATTGGCTCCCCTAAAATTTTAACTTTGAAATCTAAAGGAGGACCGATAAATTGAAAAGTCCTCTATGTTGTAAAGGTAACTGATGCTGCTCAATCAACACCCATGAGCCTAAACGCTATATGGAACGACAACCTGAACATAGTGTCTATCTACCTCACACAACTGGTGGTAAGATTCTACAGTTTTTTACAGAGATATAAAGGCTCTTACGGCTTTGATCCCTGCCGGTCAAATCTAGGATCCGAGAATTCTAATGGAAGGGCATGGGAGCAAAGGGTGTGTACATGAATACAGAAGTGACACGACCCTCTCTAAGTGTATGCAAAGCACTAAGGCTCCAAGTATTTTTGTGACTGACCTGCTTTCTGGCGTCGGGTAGATCCACCTCTACAGTGCCTACCGTTTTATTTTTGAGAATAGACTGCGGATCATTCTTTTCCTTCTTTTCTGCTGCATTTGTAACAGAAGTCGTAGAGGCACTGCTTCGGAACGATATTGAGAACGCACGCGAGATGGGACATCTAACTTTACACCAGCGACAAACAGCGGAATAAGTAACAAAGCAGGAGGCTAATCGATTCATATTCACAAAATTCTCTACTGATCGAAGAAGATTCATTCCCAGACATTAAGAGGCATCACCGTCAACAATCATGCTTCACTTTACCACGAGTTCGTCCGCCATGTTTGGCTTGGTTGCTAATGTAATCTCGCCCCAGACCTCTCTCGTAGTGAAAAATGGTACATTGGGCTGGACGATTGGGGATGTTATGGCACCAACTTTAACCCTTTAACATATAACACATTAGAGTGACTAGCATCTAATTTCTCCTCACAACATCACCCCTGAATCACACATTAAGGTCACAAGAATAAAGGCAATGATCACCAAATGAAGAAGCTCTTGATTGTCAAAAACATTTTCCTTTTTAGCACCCTAAAAATGTATAGGGAACAGTATGAGAGATATGTATACTGATGTTAGGGTGTAAAGGGCTAATACGAATAAAGAAAATGATAAAGCAACTTATCATGTTAAACTTTACCACAGCAGTTATTCTCATCGTTTTATGCAGGTTTTGCCCCACTGCAAATTCGCCTCTGCAAAGATAACTTCGCCCCGTTGAATTTAAGAACTTTGCCGCTAACCCTTTCTCGTATTTTCAACTTTCTTTACGCCGACTCTTTGCCTTAGGGATTTTCGATCAAGATAAGAAATTCTCGCTGTAACTCACTTGCTTTGTTTTAAGTTGCCTTTGTAATACTTATCTTTGTCTTTTTTTCATGTCTTCTTTTTTTTCCTATCTTGGATCTAAGCAGAAAATGTTCCTCGCTTGTTGATTGTTAGTTTGGTACCGACACCAACAGAAGCATTTGGCATCGACACCAACAGCAAGCAAAAGGCTCATTGTAATATAAAGAAATATCAGCAAAAGAAATTTTTAAAAAATCTATTTTTAATGCAAAATTTTCTTACTTTCAAAATTTAAAAAAACATATTATCATTATTATTCTTATGATACAAGAAAATGTTTTATCTATAAATTTCGAAAAAAAAAATGATATAAATTTAGTCCGGACAAACCCTATAATATATCTCAGTTGATTTCACTAAGTGAACTATATATAAGGATGCACCACTAATTATTCATCGTATGTACGTAATACAATTTCCAAACATTTTTCCGTATTATCTAAACCCTGTACATCTAAACTTCCTGATAGAAACGTCTAATTGCTTTATACTACTTTTCGCCTACAGCTTTAAATTCAATTGTTATGAAATCCTTGAGGAAGGAAAAATTACGAGAATGGACCTCCCTGTCCATATTCCATGACTGCTGTTCCTGCGAACGCCGTTGCTGGGATTTCCGACGTACTGAATAATTTTGACTAGTTCCCTGTCTTTCTATCTCTAAATATCAAAAACGGAAGACTGGAAACGAGTCGGCAAAATTGCCTTCAACTTTAAGAAAACTGCAGTTTGATAACTAAGAATAACCTCATACTGATAAAAATTAAGTAAGAAGATAAAAAAGATGGCTAAAGATACTGATGATTAAAAGGTATTTCACACGTGCACCTTCTACAAAATGCTAAGGGAATATCAACCCTAAAAACTTTCGTTTTACACTTCGCGAGCAGAAGAATTGATAACGTTATCTTTCTTGAAGCTAAAGAAAAATGAAGTCAACCTCTCTTCTGATCACAAAGTAATCTGAATCCAAGTTACAATATCTTGATGTTGCGACGGCGCGATTCCAGCAAAATTCTCTTTGGACTGACGACAGCTCAAGCTGTACCGTTTTCCACGCGAGGGTCAAAATGACCTGAGCACTTCTTAATGTCGTATTTTCAACCCAAAATTAAGACTTAAAATTAAGTAACCTCAGTTAGTGCAATGAGATAGTGTTATCGTCGTTGTTTCTGAAAAAAATATCGTAGTGACAACTTTTTACTTCTCACGGAAACGATAAACCTCGACAAAATGCATCAACTTTGTTTTCACAACTTTGCTTTCGTATCAAGTGAATAAATAAATAAAAGCGCGCGTTGTCAGGAAGGGTGTAGGAAGGGTGCAGGGCGTGGCATGCCTTTTTGGTCAAGTACACTGCTGCGGGTAACTCGAAAACCTCAACCATTTCCCAGAGCGCCCACTACTCTGTAAAGATATCTCCTGATAAATTCTCTTCAAACCGTAATAAAATATTTGTCTTTCGTATGGTACTAAATTGAAATAAAATAATAGAATAATAAAGCAATCAAAATTTTCTAAAATGTAAGAATTTTAAAATTTTTGTTATCAATATCTATCTCTTTTCATTTAAGAATCGTTTACTCGTCTTCTGCTCTCTGACCTCGCGCAAAGTTCAAAAATACTTGCTCCAATGTGGTCTGACTAACAGAGTAGTCCTCAATATTGTAGTTCATCTTGACCCGCTCAATTGTTCCAAACAGCTGAGCCCACGATACGCTGGTGTCACGGATGTGATAGTGGACCATGCCTTGGTGCTCGTCCTTCAACACGCTGCCAGGGAATGTACCTTCAATAAATTGTTTCAGCGGTCCGGTATCCGGTGTATCGCTGCCCACTCTTGCCAACACAGTGTATCCCTCACCAAACTTGGTTTTGAGGTGCTGCGGACTTCCGAGGCATTTGAAACGTCCATTAACCATAATGGCGAGTCGGGTACAAAGAGCTTCGCATTCTTCCATACTGAAAGCAAGAAAAAATTGTCATAAATGGTAAAGAAAATAGATAAAGATGTTTTTCGTCTTGTCACGCGCGTTGGACAAAGAAAAAGAGTGCCCATGAAGAACCGAGCCTCGGACGGAAAGAAGGGAGACCCTGGGGACGAGGCTCAGGTGGGCGTAGGGAGAAAAGGATCTATAACACTTAAAAAAAAAAAAAGAATCGGAGTGGTATCCAACTGATTTGGTTGTTCTTCCCCAATACTGGGAAGAGCAAAATCATCGTATAAGCAAGAGTAATAATTTGTTGAATAAAAGCTTCATTCATCACCGCTCAAAACTGAGGCATACTAGAGCAGTAAAACTTACAAACGGGTAGACGAGAGTTTAATATCACGATGGTATTAGGAACTCATAGAGAGACCTACCTGTGTGACGTGATCACGATACATCGTCCATCCGCCCGTACACGTGACAGTGCATCCCATAATAGTCTCCTAGCCACTGGGTCCATTCCAGTCGTGGGCTCATCCAGAAATACTACTGGAGGGTCCCCTACCAGTGATATGGCTGTACTCAGCTTGCGTTTGTTTCCACCACTAGAAAGAGAAAGTTATGACACATTAATCAACCGATGGAAAATTTACTGTATCCATCAAATCCCGGCATTAGGGAGTGGAGTTTGTTTTCATGTTTGCAGTATAACAGTTTTATCAACTCTCCTCCTTGTAAGGTATTCTGAGTTAACCCTTTCACTCCCTAGATCTAATTAGTAATTCTCCTTACTATCTGCCATACAATTCTTATGATGTTAGTTCAGAGAATTTGGTATTGGATCAACTAATAATTCCATGATTGATATTCTTCTCCATTCTCATCACTTGTCTTCGTGATATTGTATTGATATTGTGAGGAGAAATTCTGTCTTGGTCACTTGTGGGAGTTAAAGGGTTAATTTACAACACTTTGTGGGGGATTTCGGCCAGACTGCATTGAGCAGTTTACGATATTTAAAGGAAACTTTCGTAGGTGCCCCTTATTTCGGAATCAAGGCCAGATCACAACACCGTAAGCTTAGTTCCCTCTCTTTGCGAAAAGTACATGTGGTTTCTTAACATCCCCTGCTAACCAGTACAGAGAAGAGACAAGAGACGGGGCCTTCGGTTTATCGTCCTTATCCGTGTGGAATGGAACGTCTAACCATTTGCAGATGCCATGGCAAAGGCAACACATTCTCCTCAGTAATTTTTGTTGCTCGCATCATCACTTCCCGGTATTGGGGGATGCTGCTCGTACCAATCAAATCACGGTAAATTAAAGGGTATGTTGGTCGTACAACACCTTTGCTTAAGTACAAAATGATTGCTGCCGACGTTTGTAGGCAGCCTTCACCTTTAAGAATATGGCTTTACATCATACATCCTTTGTTGATGTCACCCAGGAGAAACGACTAACCTGTAAGAACCGGCTACTTTATCAGCATGATCCTGAAGCAGTAACGATTGAATGAGAGTATCCACAACATCCGGTATTATGACTTCCGGTACGCCACGAAGCCGCGCGTACATATATAAAATTTCTCTTCCGGTCATCTGATCGATTAAGGCGTCAAACTGGGGACAATAGCCAATGCGCTGCCGAACCTGAAAACCAGAGGGCAAGTGGTCATTGACCAAAGTATCAAGAGTTAAATGTGAACGCTAGCGGCTCAATCAGCCGAAGTTTATCCCGGTTTCTACCGATTGAAGCGGCTAGAAGTATTACTACTCTCCTCATGGGTGAGATGTTACTTCATCGCAGGTTAGGCACGGTGAAGGTAAAGTATTTTACGCAAGAACACAACACAATGGACCAGTAAAACCTCGAAAAAGACCTAAGATCCCAAATCTAGGGCTCTAACCACTCTAGGTCGCTACATCTTCCGCCAAATGACAATTCTGTACAAATCGTAATGACTAGAAAAAGGTTTATATGGTGTTTTAAAAAAACACAAACGCAAACTGCATGTAGCCAAAACATTTTTCGCGATGGAATTCTGTTACATAAGATGAAATGAATTGGCCATCATCCCTCCTCAAAGGGCTGCCACCTTCAAGCTCCAACTTCGGTTCGTTGACTCCCAAAAGAGATATCAACAGCATTCCATTGAAGACATCTTACCTTGTTCATGTTGGTCCTGATGTCAAACCCTTCGACCAGAGCTGTCCCGGATGTCATTGTCTCGTCACCAGTCAACATGCGGAAGGTTGTGGTCTTCCCTGCTCCGTTAATTCCCAAGAGACCAAAACATTCATTCATAGGGACACCAAGACTTAAACTATCCACAGCAACCAACGGAGAACGACCTAGAACATAAAGAATATGATTGCCGATTGAGCGTCTCTAGAAATTTGTACTTGGACTGAGAGCAATTCTTAACTGAGTGTCGAAACTTATTCAGGTTTGCACTGGTTTTGCTTACCACGCCATGTGATTGTTACAGAGAACTCTTCCAACCAATCAGACGTAAAACTAAACTCAACCACAAGCCTACGTGTCTCATTGTTCACAGGTTAGACATGTCTTGTCTCCTAAGTCAATAACCTAGCTTAGAATCCTAACAATATCATAAATGAAGTCTTCCGCTAGTATCTGGTACTTGGTAAATTTCAACCTTACGGTTCAAAAACGCTTAACAAGTCTTTCAAAAAAAAGGTGATGTCACTTGAGGAGTTCCTTAAAAACTCGATAGCTTCGTTAAATTCTGAGGGGCAATGAAATAAAAGCGATATTACGTTTTACAAAAAATTTTTTTTCTTGCAAAAAAAAGGTTGAAATAGAACTTACGGCCGTTTCCATAGAAAACCTTGCTCAGCTCCCTGATTACGAGCACATCGTCTTTGTCCGTAGATCTCATTACTCTTTCCTTCTCCTCTAGAACGTCGTCATCATCGGCCGAGTGCGAGTCCTGAGATACAATCACGTTTGCGGAGAAGGCGCGCAAGCGCTTAAAAAAACGCGCGCAAGCGCTAAATGCACCATACTCGATCAACAGCACGAGAGAGTAGAAAACAATTCCTTCCAAAGCCAAGAATACCAGGTATCGGCCTATACCAGGATTATCCCAGGCCAAATAATTCGTTTGAAACTTCAACTTTGGGCCTAGAAATTCTTTGGCCATTTTTTCACAGTCTGCCAAGGGCAAAAACTTTGCTTTGGAATGACATTCCTGGTCCACAAGACGCAATGTATTGTAGTTATTGAAAATGTCTGAAATTCCTTGGCCGAGGCAGTAGTTCGGCAAGACGAGGAAAGCCCATTTGAGACCATCAGCCACGTCCTCAAGGTCAAGTTCTGGAAAACATAATTTGTTATTAACTTCTTCCCGATAAAAGCGAAGAGGTAATGGGTCTAATCTTGAGCAAATTATCTTGGCAAAATCTGAGCACAATCATACTACTAGCACTTTTCCTGAGGAGATACATCTGCATCTTCCTCGGAATGTTCCCCAGAAGTCCTCAGAAAATAACAGAGCTTGTCTGTCTCTTTTAACGAAAAAAAGCCGCGTACTACAACATAAAAAGAAAAGCAACAAAAACTAGTGGAATTTACCTGGTATACTTAAAACAAAGACGGTCAACAGTGTAGCCAGTCCGGTGATGATGTTGAAGACAGTCAGAACGACAAAGGCAGTTGATGCAGTTCGATACAAGAACGAGAAGAGATACATGAGAGGTATAATCGCCCAGCCATACAACATCAGCAAAATGAAAAGATAGCCAAGACGAGCACCTACGAATGCGACAAATTAAAAGAGTTTTAGCAATTAAAATCTCTCTCATTACATGGCCGTGATTGTTGCTTTTTTCATGAACCGAAAAGCTGAGGCAAGTTTTCTCGCCCAAGGCAAAAGCTGGCTCAAGTTTTTCCAGCCCCAAACACTGGTGACATCTCAAATTTCGCGCGTTGCAAATTGGCAATATCAGTTCTCGTATTAAGCAGTGTAGGCATCTTTTCTTGCGCATCATCATTTTCGGATCCGTAAAGTACTGTACAACACAGCAGCCAAACGTCGTGCATGCGTGTGGGAATCAATGCCGGAAGGTCTCCCGAACGGCCGCGCGTCAATTTCCCGCGCTAAATTTCACAGTAAGAGAACTAGAAACTTTGAAATACAAATCTTATTCAAACATAGTATCCTGTTGATTTGACATTCTGTTTTTAGCTTTACTGAAAGAGTTTTATGTTTTTGAAACACTGAGACGTATTAGCTTGTATGGTTGTTGGTGGTAACTCGTGCGTGACAGCTTGGTTGTGACAGCCTAACTGGTCAACTGAAGTGAGTAAAATTTGATTTGTCCACTTCAAGCATTAGTAAACCCATCTAAAAACTTACGTCAAATCACTAAAGCTCACAACAAACCTGTATAAGCCGGCACGTCAAAAGCAGCCACGAGGATCAGAAGAGACAGCGTTGGGAGGAGGAAGTTAATCAAGTCCCAGGTATACGCAGAATCCCAGTAGCTAAATGGGTCCACACCGCTGACAAACTGAACGTGTTTCGCTTTATTGGAACGTTCTTGGACAAGAAAGACGACGAAACTTGAAGCCAGGAAAGCCATACCAAATAAAATGTTGAACGCGACATTGAACCCGACGCCATTGCTAAAATAAAGACGTTGACGTAAACCGATTGGAATCAAAAGCTTTCACCACAACCAAAATAAATAAGACGAGTTGGAGGTTTCAGTTTACACCAATTTACAACCAAGATTGGAGAGAGAGGGAGGTCTCATAGCGTAATATAACATACAAAAAAAATTCTGTATTCTCTAATTCGATTATGGCAATGATGTTTCTTCTCCCTGGAGTTGCTTCGAGAAACCGATCCCGGTAAAATTGTGACAAAGTAACCAAAATACATATATATACTTCGAACCTACAGACAAAACTAACTGGAAAGTACCACATGTTACCAAAACCTAGAAATTTGAGATAGCAAAAGTTTCAGGTAACAGGACTATTAATCTATGACGTAACTTTTGGCAATTTTACCAAACGTTTGACCATCCTTCACAAAATGCCTCAATCCTTACCGCTGTAAATCATTTGCAGATTCTTTAGCAGTTCTTGGCAGCGGGTGGTTAACGGTCGTTAGTGTGTAGTTACTGCCCAGAGCAGCCCGTAAGATGGCGTTGTCAGCAGCTGCTAGAGACACCGCGATGGAATGGTATGCTTGGTTATTGAACCACGCTGTGACATTTACTGAGGGAAGAGAGGTAACCAAGTAAGCTTCATAGAAATATTAGAGAGTTTTAGATCCACGTTTGGCGTGTTCATCGCTAACGTTGAACCGCGATCAGCAGTTTGTGGTTAGAAGTTATAAATTTCGAGACTTTCAGCTTTTTAGATCGACGTCGGCTTTCCCTTGGAAGAAAATCAACATGGGCGCCGCCATCTTGATTTAAACAAAGGATGGAGGTCCTTCATCTCAAACACTAAACTAAAAGATTGGCTAAAAGATTGGTTTCCTAGCGTCCAAAACGGATTAGTTATAAAAAAAAGACTTCACCTCACTTATATTTATAGGACATATTTTCGAACAAAAAAAGAAAAACAGCGTCGATGGAGTTGAAATACCTGACACTGCCCTGCCCGAAGTTCAAACGTGGACGGCAAACGGCGAACGTGACCGCTGGAGTCTGGTCACGGACTCCTAGACGTTTGCGGTCACACGTATTCAGACACAAACGTAAATCTAAAACTCCTTATTATATAAACACGAACCCCTTGACCGACCGATGTGCAGTGCAATATTGAGGAATCAACTTATCACAAGTATTTTGACTTGAGTTTAGCAGAAAGTAAATTGTTGTCGTGTGCCTTTTTCCGTAACTGCCATGTTCAAACTTCTGTTAAAAAAAATTACCTTTATCGTTCTGTTTCTGGAAGGTGGCTGCAATCAGGTCTCTTTTGTTGAAGGGGCCAACTCCTATTTCGCTCGGTTTTTCCAACAGGTACTGTCCCATATTGACTTCGACTTTCACAGGATGTGTCTTGCTCTCATCAGACCACTGAGTTTTGTACTTATCCGCCAAGCTGCAGGTGCTAAATAAAATGTCCAGTAGATCAAACCAATTAGCAACTTGATATGCCTTCACATTTTTGATAGATCGCGAAAAAGCAAGAGCTTATGATCGCCCCACCCTCTCACACAGTAAGATACAAAACCAAAACCAGTCGTGACTTTGTCACTGGAAAGCACTAGGAACATTGCTTTAAACCATGTAAGCCCCCGATATTCCTAACACTAACCTTAACCGCTAGAGCATCGGGGGCTCACTTGGTTTGAAGCAATGTTACGTAGTACGTGCTTTCCTTGGTCCCTTGCGTTTTCTCGCGCCTCAAGCAGTTTTCTTGTTTATTTAATTTAAGTTTATTTTGACTCATTGTGATGTTTTCCCAAGTTCTTGTTTGAATGGCCGTTGTGATAACTTTGGTTATGGCTCTACGAAACTCAAGAGAACTACACGCTTGCTCTAGAACTTATTGTTGATTTCATGGTGGAAAATCCCGCTTGTCGTGGTTGTTTTAGCCAATAGCAGTTAAAGGATTCCGTAACTAAGCAATTCATGTTATAACGTCCCAAAGTCAATGCTCAAAATGGTCCAATTAATTAAAAGAGGTTCCAAAAAAGAATTTACCTGTTATCACACTCGTAGGGAACATAGTTGTCCAAGAAGTTCTGCGTGGACAGAGTGAGCGGAGGAGAATCAGTAGGCTGAGGAATGGTCTTAGCACTGATCAGAGCAAACAGCGTATATACCAGAGGAAGAAGAAGCTGAGATATGAGAGCCAGCTTGTGCCGCTTGGAGTGCAAGATACGTTTCACAAACATTGCGTACCACCGCTGACGAAACAGCCGGAAACCGGAAGTGTGATTGTAGTTGTTGTAGTCCCCAAATGTGCCATAGCTGGCCGAGGACGCTCCCAACGTACCCATACGTGCCATAACGGAGGATTTCTCGCTTGGAACAGGTATATTTACCCTATCCAACATACCGTTGGCTGACTGTGTTCCTAGAAAGGAAAGCAACCTTGTAACAGATACAAAAACATGATGACGGATAATGATTCTGAGGACTTCATAACGAAAGACACTTGTTCACGAAGTGTAATCGTTTACAACCGTTTATAAGGTGACGCCTACCCAGTCGACCGTGTCGCCAGAAGACGACTCCCAGTATGCAGTCGGTAGGTCAGGATTGGATTCATTCATCGTGAGAAAAACGATTCTACTTCATGTACTCACCACGATGACTAATCACAACCTTTCCTACGATATCAGAGGAGACTTACAAAGAGCCAAGGCAAAGAAGAATGCAATTAAATCCCTGTAAAAGAGTCCTCGTACCAAGACTGGTTGCATTTCAAATTTCATTGAATTACTTGAGCAACTAGCCAATCCTAAGTTAAGGTTATGAGAGAACGTTTTACAAAGAAAATGTGAGCTCCTTCGCAACCGTTATTTGAGATATCACGCAACGCTCCCCCTTACGTTGCGTGACTTCCTGAAGAACAGTTGCGAAGGAGACTAGAAAGAGTGAGAAATAAATACGTGACGGAAGTTTAGCCAAGATAAGTATGTGACACTGGCCAAACGCGGGAAAATGAACCCCAGGCAGCTTGGTACGCACTCGTGATTGGTTGGTAACGTTTCATGAACTCTTGATTGGTTGGTAATGCGTTATGTTCTCGTGACTATTCAGGCTCTAATTCCTTACAGTGAACGAGGTTTTTCAAAAGTTCCAAGAAAGACACCAACAGACAAGTAAAAGACATCATAATTTTGTAAGGTCATTGTAAAAGTGAATAGGAACTGGAACGAAAAATTAGTCTAACACTGTTTAATGTTTTGTTATGAAGTAATAATAATCCTCGAAAGATTTCCAACCTTTGCTATTCTGCTGAAGTTTATCGCTTAGACTACTGTCCATTTCCTCTCCAACTTTGAGAAAAACTTCCTCCATGGTTGTAACGGAGGCGCCATAACTGGCGATTCCAAGTTCTTTGCGGCGGGTCTCTAACTCCAGAAAGAGATTCTCAAAGTTGCCTGTGGCTTCACTTGGCAAAATAAAAGAAAGTTCGGCTCCTGAAGAGAAAAGAAGATCATGAGTTAACAAAGGCGTTCAAAACTAAAAAAAAAACATTGATGAATGAGAAGATATTTGAGGATGAAGCCAGAAGTGTGTGAGCATTCAAGTGAAGTTTTATTGAAACTTTTAGCTCTTGGATGAGATCTTGAAGTACGACCAATCAAATGAAAACTAACCAGCAGTATCTTAACCCTTAAACTCCCAAGATCTGCTTGTTAATTCTCCCTTCTCGCTACGACACCTTTCCTTGTAGCTTAGTTACGATGACTTGTTGTTTGATCAAGATAACAATTTCTACCAGATAAGTTTGATTATTCCCATTACCTATTTGCTGGATAATGTATGGATAGTTTAGGGAGAAGTTACATGTTAATCACTTCTGGGAGTCAATGCATAAAAGTTTACAAACTCACCAATATTACTCTCCACAGTAGCTGTAGGCACGTGACTAGTGACCATAGCAGTAACCTTAGAGACGTCGCAAGAGGGCTCCTTTACAATGACCATGTGATAGCCCACTCCATATCTGTTCTTAAGAAACAGAGAAGAGCCACAACATTTGACATTGCCCTCAGCCATTATGGCAATCCTATCACCGAGAATGTCTGCTTCGTCCATAAAGTGAGTGGTGAGAAGAATAGTCCTGCCTTCCTTATGCTGCTGTAGTAAATCCCAAGTAAACCTACGTGCTGATGGGTCCATACCAGATGTTGGTTCATCTAACATCACAACCTAAAAAAAAGTAAAAATTTCTAAATTTCCAGACTGCATAATGAAGAAAAATAACACTGAACCTGTATTCTTAAGTCAGCCAGTCTTTAACCCTTTAACTTCCATGAGTGACCAAGACAGAATTTCTCCTTACAATATCAATACCATATCAACCAGATAAGTGATGAGAATAAAGAAAAATATCAATTTGAGGATAATTTGTTGATTCAATACTAAATTCTCTGAACTAACTTTATAAGAATTGTATGGTTGACAGTAAGGAGAATTACAAATTTGATCTGGGAGTTAAAGGGTTGAGGGTGACTGTAACTATTACCTTTGAGCCACCAATCAGTGCTATTCCTACTGAGAGTTTCCTTTTCATGCCACCAGACAGTGCACGAGCCTGTGTTTGTCTCTTGTCTGACAGACCAATGCACTCTATCATTCTGTCAACCTCCTTTTTCACCTGCCAGGATGAGCGGGTCTTTAGCTTGGCAAAGAACCATAGATGCTCTTCAACAGTTAGACGGTCAAACAACACATCATGCTGGGGACAGAGACCTGAGGAGAAGTTAAGTTACAGGGTTCTGTTAACCAAGATTAGCATCACTCTTTCTTTAACTATGCATTGGTTAAGAAATCTAATGCCAACTTTCCAACCACTCACAAAAACTAACACATTCTATGACTAGTTTACCCATGTTTCCCTGTGCCAGGTGTATATTTACCATAAGTTCTAAAGAAACCCTTCTGATAAGTTATAAAAGATCCTAGACCATGAACTTCATACCACTTTGGTGGCAGTGGCTTGATTAAACAGAGAAGGAGCAACATCTTTCAAACATATACAGTTTTCCTACTTGTCCTCAAACTTTTCTAGGAGGAAATCATATTCTTGTTGAACAAATGGCTTCATATTTTTTCTTTAAGTACACTTCAGAATCAAAATGAAAGAATCAATAAGTTTTACAGTACAATATCTCACCTAGACTGCTGCGTACACCACTAATATTATCACTGATTGAACAGCCATTTACAAGTGCAGAGCCAGAAGTGGCAGGAAATAGTCCAGTCAGCATGGACATCAGTGTTGTTTTACCAGCCCCATTGTGCCCCAAAAGTACAGTAATCTGTCCTTCATACAAGTTCAGAGACACTCCATTGACTGCTGTTTTCTTTCCTACAGATTTGAAAGAAAAAATGCAATAATTGGTGAAGTTTTGTAACAAAAGGAATGTATGTATGAAGCCCTAACCTGGGAAGCAATTCCTGATATATGACTAAATTCTCCATGCATTTCACGAGGGAATTCAAGACAATTCAAGGAGAATCTAGCAGTTAATCAGTAGTTACTTAGAATATTTTTCCACGCATTCTTCAGTTAAAAGGATAAAGCTACTTGTAACAGGTTTGTATAAATTATTATAACTCTCAGTCAACTGTTCCTAACATGAGCACCTCAATAACCCATAAAATTGTACTGTAACAAACATCAATAACTAAATAGAGGTTACCAAAATGGTAGAGTTAACTAATCAGAACAACTACACATGGACACACACAATTAATCAACCAAGTATGAATCACACTCAAAATAAAAGGGTCAGAGCATATAATTCTATTGTAAGACCATGATATACCCTATTTTTCAAAGCAATTAAAAAGTGTAGAAAACCATCAAGCGAGGAGGTTTCTTATTTATTTGAACTGCTCCGCTTAAAAGTACATTTGAATGTAGCTTTTACACACCTTTCTCTGTGGAGAAAACTTTCTTCAGGTTTCTTATTTCAACACCTCGCTCCAAACCAACAGGATCTTTTTCTAGAAACTCAGGAGCAGTCGCTGCAGGTGTGGTGCCATTTTGCATACTGTGAAAATTGCCTACTTCCACCTGTAACAGAGTTAGAAGCAAAACTTATAGTAACATATGTCAAATGATAATAATAGAACAGACTTGCATTGGTGGGGAATGAGGGAGATTACCTAGCAGTGCTTGTTTTTCAAGTAGGGTCAAAATGTCACAAATGGTCGTATGTGGTCTTCTTGAATAGTTGATAGCCATTGGTGGTTAGATATTTACAGAGAACTTACAGAGAGTTGAAAAGGTGCAAAATGCTTTACAGCCAATGGCAAATTGGAAGAAACAAACTAAGGGAATATAATAGCTGCAGGAAACATAATAATATGTCAAGGTGGTGGTTTCTTAAAATGACTGTGTAGTTGCAAAGTAGGACTTGACAGTTTTTTTATAAACGGCTCAACAAATAAAGAAAAAAATAATCAAACAAAGCTAAAAGTAATGGAGGCATGGTGGCCTCATGGTTATGCATGCAAATTGTGTTGCGTTCTTAGGCAAGACATTTTACTCTCACAGTGCTTCTCTTCACCCAGGTGTAAAATGGGTACCAGCAAATGTGCCCCGATGGACTAGCATCCCATCCAGGGGGAGTAGCAATTGCTTCATGCTAAGAAAACCGGAGTTAAGCACTGGCCCCATGGGCCACTTGGGCCCGTATAAAGGCTTTACTTTTTTTACTTTACTGTAGGTATAACTGCCAAACTCAAAGTTGACTTCATAATCTTGAGAATACATGAATGGGATAGTCCTAACCTCTTTGCTTTTTCCACACCAGTAACTGGGCAAAACAGGGAAGTACCAAGGTTGTGGAACCCCATAGTCACCAGGAAATACTGCCTCAACATACCAAGCTATCAAACCATAAACAACTGAGTCCACAGCAAACATCCAAAAGACATAACCAAGTGTAAGATCATCATCAATGGAAGGCCCACGATTGAGATTTGACCACTGAACTCCAGTTCCCTCCCCTTCAAATTTCCCAATCAACTGAGCACCCAATGACATGGCAACATTAGAAAGGAGGCAGCTTGCCAGCTTACTTCCCAGACCCATTGTATCATAAGACTGTTGGATAAAGAAATATGGAATGTAGTTCATGAACCAGAGGATCCCTCCTGCAGCCGCAGCAATATTTGCCTTGGAGAAGAAGACACTGATGCAGAAACAGAACATGATGGATGATATTGAATACAGAAGAAAGAATACAAATATGACAGAGCCTGAGCTTTGATTCAGGACGCGGCCCCTTTCACTGAACTTCACAGTGAAGAAAACAGCTGCTAAGGCCATGGTAATGACAAGGAATATGAAGTACTTTGTAAACCATGCCAACCAATGGAGCCAACCATTTAGACCCATCATCTTCATTGATTCCTGTTGTCAAAATGAATTACAAATGAGTTAATTAACCCTTTGACTCCCATTAGAGAGTAAGACCAAACTTCTTCTTATCATATCAATACAATATCAAGCAGACAGAAAGTCAAAATAAAGAAAAATATCAATTTGGGGATTATTAGTTGATTCAATGCCAAATTCCCCAAACTCACATCTAAAGAATTATATAGAAGAGGAGAATTGCATATGAAATCTTGAGAGTTAAAATACTGGCTGTAAGAGCATTTAAGACAAAGGAACACATTGTGCAATTGTATATCATATTCACCCATAAACACGTGCCATACCGAGCCTGCAGAGTTGAATATTGTAAAAGCTATTCATAATTGTAAGAAAAAAAATAAATTAAATGTTAACCTTTTTACTGCCAAGATCTGATTTCTAATTCTACCCCCTAGCTGTTACCATTTCTCTATAAACTAGTAACAAGAATTTGGTGTTAAATCAAGATAACAACCATCTGATAAGTTTGGGTATTCTCATTACCTGTTTGCTGGATAATGTATTTACATTAGCAGGAGAAGTTACATGTTAATCACTTCTGAGTAAAGGGTTATAAAAGCTGTATATGTATTGGTCACCTCACCTTCAGTTTCTTTTCCTTTTCATAAACAATATCCTGTACAATGTTTAGGGCAGTGAAGATAAGAGACAACATCAAGAGTAAGGGTAGAGAGTTTTGAATAACCAACACAAATTCATCGTGAATATAATGAGGATAAGGAAATCGTTTCATCGACACTGTTGTGTTCAGGGCTGAAATGTTTCCTATGTACTTAACAATTGCAGAATCCACAGCATGTTGAAGAGACAGAAATCCTTCACTATAATAAGGTGGAGGGCCACCATAACCATTATCTACAGTTCGAGGTCCTGGCTTCTGGAACACTGGAAATGTTAATTGAGTGAGCCAGGATGTTGAAGGAGATGCTCCAAATGATGGTTTCCCACTTCCCCTTGCTTTAGAACTAAGGCGAATCTTATAAATAATATTTCTGGAGTAGAGAGTCCTATTGAAGACAATTCCACCAAGGGATACATTTTTTCTTTTCTTTTTTTCGTTGCCATTATTCTGCTCTTCCTCATTTACTAAAAATGTTTGCATTTCTTTCTCAGTTTGGAATCCAACAACAGATAAACGCACAAGTTGCTTTGCAACCAAATCCATAATCTGCCTCACATCACTTGTGTTTGGAGTAAATGCCAGTTTTGTTTGAGTGACATCGGGTGGTAATTCAACAATGTCAAATGCAGAATAGTTACGGCTTGGCTTAGGTTCCACTTTAACAACAGAGGCTCTCAGAACGACAAGAATTATTATAAAAAATAGTGGCATTGAAATTTGAAAGAAAGCTCGCACTGGAGATCTCTTGAGAAGGACAACATTCTTCCACAACAACAGCAAAAATTGCTTTCCTTTTCCCATCTTTTAGCTGATAGTCCAATTATCTAGTAGAATATCCCTGTTGATGAACAGATAATAAATCAAAGCAATCGTTAACAATTCTCATAAAGGTGTTTGTATATTTGATTTTCCCAGTTTTACTTCACACTTTACACCCAATCATCAGTATGTATATTCTCCACACTATTCTCTATAAGTCATCGTGTTAGTGGCTTTCTTATATATCAACACAAATGTAGCCATTAAGTCATTGCGTTACAGTTTTAGAGTTTCCCTATGTCCCAATGCAAGTATAGCCATTAGTCATGCGTTGCTGGCTATCTTAGAATTTTCCTATGTACCACCATAAATGTAGCCATTAAGTTATTGCGTTACTGGCTATTTTAGAGTTTCCCTATGTACCAACACAAATGTAGCCATTAAGTTATTGCGTTACTGGCTATTTTAGAGTTTCCCTATGTACCAACACAAATGTAGCCATTAGTCATTGAGTTACTGGCTATCTTAGAATTTTCCTGTGTACCACCACAAATATAGCCATTAAGTCATTGCGTTACTGGCTATCTTAGAATTTCCTTATATACCAATGGAAATGTAGCTGTTAAGTCATTGAGTTAGTGGCTATATTGTGATTTCTCATTATACAGATGCAAAGGAGTAGTTGTTAAGTCATTGCATTGCTGGCTATCTTATAATTTCTCATTACATGGACGCAAAGGAGTAGCCGTTAAGTCATTGAGTTAGTGGCTATCTTATAATTTCTCATTAAAAATCTTCTCTAATGAGAAATCTAGCCATTTGACTCTGATGATGACTTCTGCTCAGGTTGTCGAAACGTCAGTCACCACTATCTGACAACAGTCCTTCTCATGACTACACTCACCTGGACTATCAAACTACACTAAGTCTTATAATTTCTCACCATGCGGACACAAAGGAGTAGCTGTTAAGTCATTGCGTTACTGGCTCTCTTATAATTTCTCATTATACGGACGCAAAGGAGTAGCTGTTAAGTCATTGAGTTACTGGCTATCCTAAATTTCCCTCTATTCCAACGCCAGTGTAGCCGTCTAGTCACCGGGTTACTTGCTACCTCAACGCCGGTAATATAGAAGTTAAAAGTCTTCCGACTAAGTTAGAGGCTATCAAAATTTTACATATCTAGACCTACAAAACAACGAGATTTGTGATTATCATAATTCTACGAATATCGATGAGAGGCGAAGGGATGCTTAGAGGCCAGGGAAAGAGCCACAGATTTTAAAGAGGTAAGGCGAATGTCATTTACCAAGCTACGACTTTAGCTACAAAACTACAATCTGATGAGTCAGCGTAAATTAAGCAGAAATGAATTGGGCATTTACGTAACCATGTTCTTCCAACTTACACGAATTGGATAACGGAATGCAATCGCGTGAGGATTCGCGACCTGGCCGTAATTTGCTTGAAGATCAGACACTTACCATAAAATCAATCTTACCCCGTCAACTGAGCTGCATTCGCGTCGAAAGCTGTGCTAGATACGTGCGTAGAATGACAGAACTCCTGCTTCTTTCGTTTCTTTTATAAAGCTTACACACAACTCACATGACAGAAAAGTGACCGGCATTTTGGCTTACATTACGTAGTGCTCTAAAAATAAACACTTACTGAGTGACCTCTCCTTTCGAGCTGAAAACCTAGCCTGTTCTTCTGCAAAGATGGCGGCTCAAACGTGCCTTAGACGAATTCATTTCACAATCCAAAAACTTCCCTTTAATGAGGTTTACTTGCGGTCTAGAGCATTAGCTTCGAGCTTTGAAACCAGTTCTTTGATTCTAAGACCACCATCTGCTTATTCTTTGCGTATAACAAGAACAATGTGCTCCAAAAGAGGTAAAGGCTTTTCTGGCGATGAAGATGGAAATGGAGACCGTGATGAAGTCCACACGAAGGTAAAACCTGTTGTAGTATCCCTCAATCAGGGACCTTTTGGTTGGATTGCAAATAATTTGAAGCTGTTCTTGCTAAAGAGCATAGTGGATACAGAATTCGATGAAAAGGAATTTCTCCGGGGCGCCAAGCAAGCTCTGTGTGTAGTCTCTCAGCTATTGAACAAAGAACAATACAGCCAGTTGCAGGAGATAGTATCTAATGAACTACTAGAGTCATTGATGAGTATGAAAGATGATAAACCAATTAAGGAAGTGGTTTCGTTGAAAGAGATTTTATCGGCGAATATACAGAAAGTAAAATTCAGATTCGAAGCGGATGAAACTACTTTAAGTTCTGGCGAGGGACATTTTGAGGTGAACATAACAGTTGCCTTTGTGTGCACAAGGGGCAATGGAAAGGGAGCGTTTCAAAGGCAGCTTGGAAATGTCAAGATAATTGACTTAGATATTCCTAAGATAGTGTATTTAACTTTTAGAAAACGTCATACGCTTAGTAACGCTACTGGTTGGCAGGTGATAAGTATTTACTATATCTGACCCTTAATGTGGATTAGAGATTTGACTATATTGTTACTTCACAGAACACACTAATGTAAAGCAATACTTGTGAATAATGAATATGAAAGCAATTTTTTCCATGATTAACACTACTTCTAGTGATAATAAGTAGTGTTTATTACTGCAATGATCACTCTCATATTCATTTCTTAACCCGCAGTTCACGTATATAATTTTTTTATATATTTATAGTCATTTACTCAAGAATAGTGATGTAAATTGGTTAATACTTTTATTATTAAAACATTTGTGCATTTGAAGCATTAAAAGTAGCAAAACATGAGAATTTAGAGCACTCTCCCCTTGTTTTTTACCCAAGAGACAATCACTACCATCTTTGAGAGATAAAATTCCATATAAAGCCCTTTAAAATCTTATTAGAACAAACTGTACCAGTAGATTACTTCCTAAAAGTCTCAGTTCTTAGTAAAGTGGACATAGTGACTCTTCTGTTAGTTGCATAGCCCTTGAAAATAAAGATAATTTCCATGCAACATGGTTTGACAATTTTGCCATCCCACCTATGTTAATACTTGCAGTGTAGGGGGTTATCACTGCCAATAGCTCAGCAGCCAAAGATGATATAATCTCTTGCTGAGCAGGTAAAAAGTGCTTTTCTCTAGAATATTACCTGTATTAAGACTGTCCTTGTTGCAGGTTGGGGTCAGTCTCCCCCTATCTCCCTCCCTCTCTCTCTCTCTCTCTGTTTTGCTCAGTAAAGGGGTTAAAGAACACTTTGAATCAACTGTGAAGGAAAAAAAAGAAACCAAAGGACAAAACATCATCTCAATCAACTGACTTACCCTCCCGTGACTTAATTTTCTCTTCAAGAGGTTTTTAGCCCTTCAACTTGTCTTGGTCACTCCCATGAGTGACCAAGACAGAATTTCTCCTTACAATATTAATACAATATCAAGCAGACAAGCGATGATAATAAAGAAGAATATCAGTTAGGGGATTATAACTTGATCCAATACCAAATTCTTTAAACTAACATCAAAAGAACTGTAGGGCAGACAGTAAGGAGAAATACTAATGAGATTTTGGGAGTTAAAAAGTTAATCTCTTGGACAGGCTTATTCAGGTTACTTGTCTGCAATTGCTTGAACTGTAGCTTACCTTCTTCACGTAACTTTTATCCAAAGTTCAACAAATGATTAATATCACATTGTGATCAGATTTCTCTATTTGGATGAAGGACCCATTTAAATTTCCCACGCACCCCCAACGTGTGGATTTATGGCTCAGTTCAAGGGCAGTAGTGCCTATCTAGCATTTGAGAGGCCTGGGTTCAACTCCTGTCCAAACCTGAAGTTTTTTCAGACTTCTTTTCTGCAATTGCTTAAATTTCAAATTTAGTGGCGAGAATCATTTCTTTGCTTGGATTTCAGGTGCTGGCCAAAGTATGATGTATGATTTATTTCAAATTGCAATAATAAGAATCAATTAAAAACACACAACAGCAAAGGAAAATAAGCTCAAAAATGGTCTTTTTTTTTTTTTAAGTCAGAATTATTTAGCTAAATGTCTAACAGGCAACTTTCCTTAATTGCTGCTGAACCAACGGGCATCCTCACTCATTCAGGTGTTACAAGTGTTTTTTTGTTTCGTTTTGCTTGTGCAATGCACATTCTTTCTAAAACAGGTCTAGTTTTATAGAACTTAAAGCCATATACCCGAACGTGAGCCCGAGACCTGTTATCGTTTGGATAGTCGATTAAAAAAGAAACACACACACACACACACACTCATAAACAGTGTATTTCATAAAAACTTGATCGGTGCTTCGCGACTCGGTAAACGTCTACCACTATTCACTTCTACTTCGCTAGATAATTGTCAATTAATCTTCTTTTACGACAGAAGAATAAACTTAAATATTGGATTCCCATGCTAGCCTTGTTTCCAGAGTAATCCCTGTAAATGCGTGACTTTTAAACTTGCGTGACATTTGTGTTACAGTTGGCCTTTGTGCTATTTGATTCCTTCAGATAGTCTTTCTCTCCCGCTTTCACTATTCACTGTTCATGTTCGGCGTTCATCCAAAGTTAATTTATAAAGTTTGATTTCAAGCCACCGGCGTATAGGGACTGATATGTAAGTTGTATTCGCTTATTTTGTTGTTTATCTCGTTTCGAGCAAGCTCTTTCGTCTTTATTTGTATATATATTTTGTGTTTGCCGTAGCTCTTGGTTCATTTATTAGTTCCTTTATTATGATAGATTCATTTACGCTGTTAAGTCGCCACGTGTTTAATTGAATACAATCTATTATATAAGTCCCTTTTTTAATTCGCTTACAGTTTACGAGATTGATTAAAGCTATGTCTCTGTAACATATCCCCTGGTTTGGTTGGCATTTTCTCCGGTCGCGATTTTCTTGGCACTTCATCGAGCCTTGATGTTCGTTTGCCGCAACAATCCCATTAATTCTAACAATTCTTCGACCACTTTGTTCTTATCTCAGACATTCCGGGACGATCTTGAAATATAAACCTAATCCTGTGTGATAAAATTTGGTGGAGTTCCCATAATGGTGTATATACCGTATTTATTCGCTTATGAGGCGCACCATTTTTTACGAGAAAATATGCATGTTTGATCAAAATCTGCTCAAAACTTGGGGTGCGTCTTATAACCGAGTATTTTCGCGCCACAAAATATAACTTTTCCAAATTTCTCAGATAAACTGAAATGAGTATGTAAATAAGAAGTACCGCTAAATGAATAAACAAAAGACAAACAACGTTGATCATTGACTTTATCTGATTTGTTGGTTCTAAAAAGAACCGGGGTGGCTCTCAAAAGAACCGTTTGTTTGAAAGCTCGGCTGAGCTCAGCTACTCGTCGTCTTCGGCTTCGCTGTCTGTCTCGAACTCGTTGTCAATCCGCTCTTCTGTGTCTTCTGCTTCTTCTTCCTCGTCATCCCAAACCGCATCATCTTCAGTTCCATCGAGAGCATTGCTGATGCCACAGGACTTTAACGATCTCTTATCAACTCGACTGGGATCTCTCTCCATGCTCGATCAATCCACCACAACACCATCTCTTGACTGGGCGCTCGCTTCTTTCCGGAAGGCGTGTAGGTAAATGGGCCGTTAACCATCCAGGCCTCGTACTGGGCACGGACCTTGGGTGTCTCCAAAACGAAGACCGAAGACCGAAGACCGAAGACCGAAGACCGAAGACCGAAGACCGAAGACCGAAGACCGAAGACCGAAGACCGAAGACCGAAGACCGAAGACCGAAGACCGAAGACCGAAGACCGAAGACCGAAGACCGAAGACCGAAGACCGAAGACCGAAGACCGAAGACCGAAGACCGAAGACTTGGAAATCAATTTAATGAAATGTGCTGAAACGCCAAAACAATAAAATCGATTAGGTCTTCGTTTTGTAGTTTTTACCCCCCTAAAACTACAAAACGAAGACCCCTGTTAAACGCTTTATTTGACGCTAAAACATTGAAATCGATGGGGGTTTTCGTTTTTTAGTTTTGCCCGCCTAAAACTACAAAACGAAGACCCTCGCTAAAACGCTTTATTTGACGCTAAAGCAATAAAATCGATGTGGTCTTCGTTTTGTAGTTTTGCCTGCCTCAAACTACAAAGCGAAGACCCCCGCTATAACGCTTTATTTGACGCTAAAACAATGAAATCGACGGGGTCTTCGTTTTGTGCTTTTACCCACCTCAAACTACAAAACGAAGACCCTCGCCAAAAGCGTTTTACTTGACGCTAAAACATTGAAATCGGTGGGGTCTTCGTTTTGTAGTTTTACTTCGTATTGATAGTTAAATTGAATTATGGGGACACGACTGCTTGAATGTTTAGTTGTAGAATCAATTATCGCTATTTGAGTTTTGTTAAACTGTCACTATATGTAGCTGTTAGAATTAATTTCTCTAACACTTGTATGTGGTTTGGTTGATCCTTCTTTATTTAATTTTCTTCTCAAGTTGTTACCATGGGGACTAGCTTCGATATATCGGGGAAAACTAGAGTCTCCGCTTATAAAAGTGACACTGCGGATGACATTTCTAAGCCGTCAATCTTCTTGTGTCGTCATCGTACCATCTCAATTAGCGAATCACGCTTGACTACGTATTATAATTCCCACATACTGAGTGAGCACCTTAGGGTTGTCTACGCAGTTACAAAATCAATTTCTTCCTTAATTTTCATATCTTTACGATTGAGATCGGCCAGAACAGAAACGAGATCGACAATATAAAAATTACAAATAACCTTGGTGTAGAGTATTATTTATACCTGAAAGTGTATCTTAGGATAAAATCACCTTTAAAGATTGTTACATAACAACATCTTGGTCACAAGAGTTAAAGAAGAAAGGCGCTCACAAGTACCGCCCCCAAATTGCTTCTTGTTGCGAAACATGAGGGGCATCACCTGTTTACCCTTAAATTACCTCTGGGAACACGAAGGTGTCGAACGCGACCTATTACCAGGGAGATTTACTCTTCCTGGACTAACAAATTAACTTATTTAAGAACATGGCTTATCACGAGTTCCATGTCAACCTCACGATCACAACGAAGAAAACGTGATTAAACTCACAAGAAGAACGTGATCAAACTCGACCTTTAAGATAAGACCACCAAGAAGGAGTACGAAGTAATCAACCTGCCCTTTTTATAATTTACATCAAATGACTTAAAATAATATAATATTTCCATTCCTTTTCTTTCCAACACCAATACAGGAAACCCTTACGATATTGTAGATTTACTATAATTGTAATTTTATCATTTAACATAGCCACCCCATGCAGTGAATTCCTCATAGGTTAAACTTTTTATCATGAAAGTTAAACGTAGGAGCTGTTCCTTGTTTTAAGTTTTCCCGGTTTTACTTGCTATTATACTAAGCTAGTTAAAGTTCGTGCCGGCCGGCCGGCCTAGGGCGGTAACCGTAAGATGACATATACTTATGGAGTTTGAGTTATTTTATTAGCTTCCAACTTAACCTTGAGCCGGTAACGATGGAACATAAACGTTTACATGGCTTGATCGCGAGCATAAGTGGATGGAGCTAGTAGATTTTCACATATCAAGCAACAAATCGATGAAAGGATTGTTTGTCAAAATGTACACTCAGAATTAGTGTACAACGGAAAATAAATTGACCAAGTTAACATCACAGCACGTTCCACAAACCTGTTCTATTCCATAAAGGTTCATCAAAGTTATCCTGGCACACGTTTATGTTCATCGCTAAATTGTATTCGTTGTTGAGACAATGATTGTTGAACAATAAACTCTGTCGCTCAAGGTTGTTACAACTCTGAAAATTAATGTCTGACTTTCGAAAGCAATATTTAGGTAGGCTCTCCCAATACAGAACTGGTACATTACATTGGTTAACTTTTTATTCCGTTGCTGTTGGTAAATAAAACTGTTAAATGACAGCTGCCAAGTGCGACATTATGGTTGTATATCACTACTACCAGTCAATAACGCTTTAGAGATGAATTACCGTAAAAGCTCTATTAGGCCCCCAGGGGGGCTTATTTAAATTCAGGCTTAAATAGAGAGGGGGCGCTTATTTAAAATTTAAAACACCGTTTCCGTCTTAAAGTGGTTTTGTGCAAACTCAAACAACTGCGGTGAAAATTTAAATGGAACGAATTATTTAATACGGAGTGGCCAACATTATTATATATTTGAATGTATATTTGTTTCAAAACAAATCAGCTGGGCCGCATGAAGTGGATTTTATATTAGTGAATAAGAAGGCCTAATTAAAAAATCTCATTTCCCCAAACGAGGTGGGTGGGGGGGGGGGAGGTTTATAGAAAGGGGGGGGGCCTTATTACAAAAAACGACTTCCAAACAGGGGGCTTATCAGAGAGGGGGAGTTAACAGCGAGGTGGGGTTTAATGGAGATTTTACGGTAAAACAACAACCAGATTATAATTTTTAATGTCAACCTTCGGGCCTATGTAATGCAAGAGCCCTTTACCTGAAACTAGTTGTTTCGTATTCGTTTAGTAGTTTTAGGCGGCAATTTCTACAAAATGGACACCGGCATTTTAGAGGGTCTTCGTTTTGTAGTTTGAGGCGGGCAAAACTACAAAACGAAGACTCCATTGATTTCAATGTTTTAGCGTCAAATAAAACGTTTTAGCAAGGGTCTTCGTTTTGTAGTTTGAGGCGGGTAAAACTCCAAAACGAAGACCCCATCGATTTCAATGTTTTAGCGTCAAGTAAAGTGTTTTAGCGGGGATCTTCATTTTGCAGTTTGAGGTGGGCAAAACTACAAAAGGAAGAGCCCATCGATTTCAATTTTTTTAGCGTCAAATGAAGCGTTTTAGCGAGGGTCTTCGTTTTGTAGTTTTAGGGGGGTAAAACTACAAAACGAAGACCTAATCGATTTCATTGTTTTGGCGTCGAAAAATGCGTTATAGCACATTTCATTTAATTGATTTCCAAGTCTTCGGTCTTCGGTCTTCGGTCTTTGGTCTTCGGTCTTCGGTCTTCGGTCATGCACCTGAGCATTGGCGAATTTTGCTGAAATTGGACCTTCTTGGAACAAGTTACGCAGTTGTAAAACACTATTATGTCTACGCTTTGGATGTTGTCGCAGGTTATCTCGTTTGTTTTGAGTTCGTCTTTCGCGCGTTTGATTTGTTTTTCGAGATTTCCGGCAGATTTTCAGTTAATTTGTTAAAGACGGTATCTCTCGCTGAGGATAAGTATTTTACGCCTTTAAACTGTCGAAGAGGAATGTTGTGGATTTCATAAAAACCTTCCTCTGTACTTTCGATTTGCTCGTTCCA